CCGTAGAGGCAACCCGAATACCTTGCCAACATGAACGTTGATCTAGTAAATATATTTGAACTCCAGTTCTCCATCACCCGTCTGGACCCGTCGAGTATCTTCCTTTTCACCACTGATAATTTGCTCCTTCACCTTGTTCTCCCGCCGCAAGTAGAGACCATATGCAATCACCGTGACTTGCGCCACTGCAAGGGACCCCAGAGAGAAGGAGTTACCTAGCACATAAGGTGATGTGCGATACACCTGACCGGCAACAATACCAGCACAGTTGCCGATTGTCTGCTGGAGACCAATGGCAAGAGCGCGACGGTATTGCGGGGCGACATTCACATTCAGCCAGGCGACGTTGAGACCAACGGACGTGTAGGTGGTGATGCCGATAAGGAAAGTGGCGAAGTATTTGACGGCGGTATTGTCTACTGAGAGAAGTATGATATAGCCTACCAAACCGAACAAATTTGCCCCGAAAATATACTGCGCGAAAGGTTAATGAGGAATGTAGAGATTGCAAGGGGGGGCTATACGCACCGATGCAAATTTGGAGTATCGGTCCGAGCACCAAGCAATGGCGATAAAGACCAAGGCAGCCCAGATGTAAACCGGGACAGTCAAGACGTTGCTCATCAGGGAATCATAGCCCATGCCACCCAAGATAGTGGGCAGGAAAGTGCTGAACCCATATAGCAGAATATCCTGGCAGAACTGGACGACACTGCTGAACATCAGCTTGGGATCTCTGATAGCGATGCGCATCTCTTCCCAGCTGAACTCTCCACTTCCCATGTACTTGCGACGCTGCTCGTTGCGTACCCGCATCATCCATTTCTCCTCTTCGGTGAGGAAGTAGGCCTCGGCCGGGTTATTTGGGAGACCGAACCAGATGAGAAGGGCACAAATGATGCTGAACAGGCCTTCAATGATATAGACCCATCTGAAACAATGTTAGCAATGAGGTTTGAAGTGGAATAGAAGAAAAAAAGCTTACCTCCATCCCGCTTTGCCACCAATTCCGTCCATTTGCAAGAGCCCGTAGGCCAAGAGACCACCCACAGCTCCTGAGATGGCAGCACAGCTCATCAAGTAAGAAACACGCTTTGCTTGCTCCTCCCGACGATAGACCATGGTCAGGTAGAGATTAAGACAAGGGAATAGGCCAGCTTCGCAAGCACCCAAGATAAGACGAGTGGCGTAGAGAGAGCCCACTGACTGGATAAATCCGGTGAAGATGGTGGTCAGGGACCAAATGATGCAGAGTCCCGTTAGGATGTTGCGAGGCGTCAACTTCTTCATCATGACCGCCCATGGTGCTTCGAAAAGAACATATGTGACATAGAAGATGGAGACAGCGGTGGAAAATTGGTCTGGTGAAGCATTGATATCCTCGGGCATACCGGCAACCTTGACATTTCCTGATCTTTGTGAGCTTATGGCTTTTTCTTTTTCCGTAGGAGATATCGAACTCACCGATACTCGATCTGTCCAGGAAACAAGTGAGATAGGTCAACATGATGATGGGGACAAAGGCAACATCCAGTTTGGCGAGGAGCTTTGCCTCTTTCTTTGGATCCAGGACCACATCCACCTCGCCGGCGACGGCATAGTTTGCTTCGGCATCCTCTTTTTTCAGGGAGTCCTTGAGCTCCAAGGGGGTATGGACGGTATCGTGAACGGCCTCGTGTGACATGACTGCTATGAGGGTTGCAGTAGGACCGTCAAGATCAGAAATAATCTAAGTTCAGGATTTAAAGAACATCTCATACACGTGTTGAGTGGGTCATAGTGAGATTGGACCTCCTATCTTCGGCCGATATCAGCTAAGACCAAAGTCCACCGAGTGGGGAGATATCGGGCCGATGACGGTGATAAGAAAGGGCCAAAACAGGCAAACGGGGCCAATAAGGAAGGTGATTGAGGGAAGAATCGCCACTTATGCAAGCCAATCCCGATGATCCGAACAGATCCTAACTAGAAAAGGCAACTCGATAGACGGCTAGTTTGGCGTAAGCGTAAATAGGCGTCGAAAGCCGTGAAAAAGGGTAAAAAAAGGGCAAGTCGTGGGGTTTTCCCCAACCTTTTCCCCAGACCCATCGGTATGTGGATCCCGAAAAGTGATAACCGAGGATATTGCAGTCAGAAGATTGTGATAGGGATACTAATATATGAAGAAATCAATTTGTTCTTTACATCTTCTCCCAAAGTGAATATGGTCAATATGGGCCATATGGACATCGCTCAAGTGGCACGACTGCGCTGTCGTCAAAATCAACTCACCAATACCGCGGGTGTTGCACCAGGATACTTACAAGCCAATCTTCTGGTACTTCCATCAAAATATGCTGCCGATTTCCATGATTTATGTTTGCGCAACCCAGTTCCTTGTCCCCTACTGGGGATGACCGCGGTTCCTGGGGACCCAAACTCCGTTCGACCGGCAGAGTGTATTCGGTCCGAAGGTTTTGATATTAGGACGGATTTCCCCAAATATCGAGTCTATTCAGCCGGAGAATGCATTGAGAGTCGTCCTGACTTATTGGATATATGGACCAAAGATCATGTGGGCTTTTTGATCGGGTGCTCGTTCTCATTTGAAGATGCCCTGACGGCGGCAGGGTTGCCACCCCGTCACCAAAAGACCGGTACAATAGTTGCAATGTACCGATCCAACATTCCCTTATTACCCGCTGGAATATTCACCGGTGGTCACTGTATTGTATCTATGAGACCGTATCGCCCGGAGCACATTGAGAGAGTGAGAGAGATCACTCGGGCCTATTTGTCGACACATGGAGAGCCTGTCGCCTGGGGATGGGATGGTGCAAAACAACTCGGAATTCTTGATGTGGCAAAGCCAGATTTTGGAGAACCGCAAACATTCGAGGAAGGTGAAGTTCCTGTGTTCTGGGTAAGTTCGACAAAGTCACATCACATGATCACCGTCTGATTATCCTCTAGGCCTGTGGTGTTACACCTCAAATTGCTGTCGAAGCAGCAAGTAATAAAATCGAAGGCCTGGTCTTTGCCCATGAACCTGGCCACATGTTAGTCACCGATTGGACCGCAGAAGATTTACAGAAGCTCAAGCCAGGAAGCATTTAGAAGATACCCAAGTGCTGCAGCATCTAGATTCAGAGATTGTCAACTTGATGATCTTGCTCTATCCTCTTAACCCCACACAGTATCAACTCCAAAGTCCCTAAATTCCACCGCAACATCATCCCCAATGGCAAAAATCCCAATGACCGGATCAGTGAAGTCGAGATCGGTCAGGATTATGGTGTCAAGTGTCGCCCAAGTCATGCCAGCCTGCGAAGAAGTCTCCATGTAGCCGATTCTGAAAGATATGAAATCTTGGAGTTCCACATTTTGGGCCTCAGTCTGTGAGAATGACTTGGCTTGATTTGGTCCGTTGAACACAACTCGCTGCAAGTGAAAGTCGTATCCAATTGTCAAGAATCGATGCTCGTCTTTGTAGAGAGGCAATCCTGCTCGAACTGACGTGCAATCCTGTGGCTTGTAGGTGGTGACCGTCGCAGTGCCTTCAAGTCTTTGTTGTCGCTGGCTGATAAAAGTAATGGGCTCCACTCGCTGTATACAACGGGTTTATCTTATAGGACTCATAAGGTCCCCACATGTTTCTTGAACGCGCTATGCTTAATATGTGGTGTTGAAACGTGCCCCCTTCAGCAGGTAGAAGATAGTACCAGTCATCCTTTTTATAAATATGTGGGCATTCTGTATATACTTTTTTCCCATCCAGTCCAGATGAGCGTGGGTTCCACAATCCTCGTTCCGGTTGTAATGTCAATTTCGCTGTCGTAGATCTCGGACTCAGGCACCGAGCTTAATCCAAGGGGTCTTCACGTTGGTTATGCTGGCAGTGGTGTGGTGGATCCCGGAGAGTCCGCGCTATTATGTCTCTAGAGACCACCCAGAGAAAGCTCTGAGATACTGGCTCATTATCATGCCGAGGGGAATGAGAGCAATGAGGTCGTTCAGCTGGAGTTCATCGAAATCACAAGTGCAATTGCGATGGAGAAGAATTCACTGCATTTGAGCTCTTATGTCGATTTTCTGCGAACCCCTGGTAATCGCAAAAGACTCCTCATCATTGTCTCTTTTGGACTTTTTGCCCAGTGGTCAGGCAATGGCTTGGTATCATACTATTTGAACCTCATCATCGATAGCACCGGGATCAAAGACCCAAACCAGCAATTGTTGATTAATGGCGCCTTGACTTCTTATAGCCTCGCCACCAACGTTTTCTTCAGCCTCTTTGTTGAAAAATGGGGCTGCAGGACAATCAGGCTCATCAACTCGGCGGGTATGATGGTTGCATTTGTGGTGTGGACAATCCTATCAGCAAAGTATTCTGACCATGCAAGATCAGCACTTGGGTCCGGAGTTCTGGGGATGATTTTCATTTACTATCTATTCTACAATCTGAAGTGAGTTAATCCTGCTAGACAGCCTGTATTATTGCTCATATGGTTAAGGTCCAGTTTGATCGCAAGTTATACCACGGAGATTCTAAGGGATATACCCTCATGGAGTTTGCTATGTATATTGCGCTATTCCTCAACCAGTATGTCAATCCAATCGCTCTTGAGAATATACAATGGCGTTATTATATCTTCTACTGCTGCTGCTGCTTGGCGGTGGAAGTGGTGGTGATCTATTTATTCTACGTGGAGACGCGTTATATGCTCCTTGACGAGATAGCATGGATTTTCGATGGGGATGACACTGCAACAGCTACAAATCTTGAGATAGAAAATTTTGGAGCGAATGGAAAAGGGATGAGCGAGGCCATTCATATTGAGGAGACAAGTGCTTGAGCGAATGGAAGGTTACGGAACCAAGAGAGTGATTATGTGGTTTGAATATATGGCGAAGGCAGAGTAGCTTGAAGCGGGAAGATTTTGCTCACCCAGAAATGGAGGTGGTTTCATTGTTTCTTCAGTACTATTTTAATGTGGTTCTCTGGAAGGAGAGCCCTCAAATCACAAGCCATCCGCGTCTTCATCAAACACCTTCTTTCCCTTATACCAGGTTTGGCACACCCGAGCTTCTAAAAGGGATTCCTCGGCCCAGGCCATATCAAGCACAATAAAATCAGCGTTGTATCCCGGATGCAGACTCCCTGTCCAGGAGTCCGAAAAAGACGCGTATGTAGCCTCTGCAGTAGCTGCTGAGATGGCGGTTGCGAGGGAAACAGCAAATTCGGGATTGACGGTATCTTGCGAGGAAGGGTCGATAGACGACCGCCGAGTAGTAGCGATATAAAGATTGGGCAGTGCATGATGTTCCGCAGTGGGGGCATCGGTCCCAAAGGTCAAATGAGCACCACCATCCACAAACTCTTGGTAAGCAAAGGCTCGCTTACAACGATGAATTCCAAGCATCTCTGGCCATCCGTCGAATGTCGCCGGGTCTAGATGAACAGGCTGAACCGAGGCCACGATTCCGAGTTGACCAAGCCTTTTTGCGTCTTCGGGGGTTGTTATCTCTAAATGTTCAATGCGATGACGACATGCTGGCAGGTCCTGAATGAGGGATAAACAATCAATAACCTGCTGTACTGTTCGATCCCCAATTGCGTGGATGGCGCATTGCAGACCGGCATCAGTCGCACGGCGAATCGCTGCTGCAAGGGCATCGGCAGGCCATATGGGGTCGACAATGTTGCAAAATCCGCCATACGGTTGGTGTAGTCCTGCTGTACACCCATCCACGGTTCCGTCACAGATTAGCTTGATGCCATTGATGCAAAACTCCGGGGAGGTTTTGCGGTCGAAGCTTTGGTAAAGTGTAATGGCGCGATCGATTTGACTGCAGATATCGGCATCGCATTTTGAGTAGGGCACCAACCAGTGTGCTGCCACATGCATCGGAAGACTCCCACGCTCGGTTCTGTATGTATTCAATGCCGTCCACTCACCCTCTCCCACCGCCATATCCACGAGTCCAGTATACCCAGCCTGTCAATGCGCACCGATCGCAGCATCAATCGCGGCCAGTTTCTTCTCCATGGACGTGGCCCGGTTCAAAAATGGCCAAACGATGTCAAACTGCGCCGCCTCCTCGAGCAAACCAGACGGGATTCTATTGTGGCAGCGCTGAATTTTTCCTCCTGCAGGATCAGGTTTTGAGTGAGCTTCAAGCTCTCTGAGAGCGGCATTATTGCACCACGTTGAGTGAAGGTCCAGTGCCTCGATGTAGATAGGTCGCGGATCTAGGTGGTCCAAGTCTGTTGCGAGAGACTTGCCATCTGTAACCGACTGGACCCAGCCTCGGCACAAAATGCGTTGAGCCTCTGGGTGAGCTCCTGCATAGGAAGTGATGGCATTTTGGATATCTGCGAGGGTCTTGCAAGGAAGGAGGTCGAGTTTCTGTGGCGACATGCTGAAATTGAGGATGTGCACATGGCCATCAATAAATCCAGGGAGGATCATTCGATTCTTTAAATCCACTTTTAATGCTGTTGCTTGAACCTCAACAACCGCTTCGTCATTCTCCCAGCCGACGTGCGCGACATGGTCATCCTCGACTACCAGCGTGGAGACAAAGCGACCCGATGAGCCAGAACAGAGGATACATCCATTAGTAAAGACTGTTGTACCCATGTTCGATGTGTTAGGGGGAGGTAAAGATACCAAATTCCGTCGACTTGAAGGCGAGGAGAGAAGTCAAAGTTGAAGTTGAGGCTGGGGTTCACCTGATGTGGTAAAAGGCTGATGGTTATTGGCTGTTTTGCTGTATGAGATTGAGAAATGGTGTAACACCAAGATATATCACAATAGCTGGAATTCGAGGTTACTTCATGATTCTTTCTCACTCTCAATGCTTGTTTTGACTTGACTAAAGTTTACTGTTGTTTCACACGGCTTTGTTGGTTTATATAAATGTTGAGACACCCTGTCACTCCACGTTGCAACTTGTCTTTCAAGACAATAACTTATCTTTTTATGGAATGGATCAGAGTTCCAGCGCCAGTTCTATATCTACTTGACAATAGCGTTAATATTTCAAGCCAAAATCACATCAACTTTCCTTGTATTTGTAGGAATGCGTAGTAGATATAGTCTATAATGGAAGGAAAGATTGTATCGACTGGTAATGTTTTACTCAAAGCTCCCCTGCTTCTATGATTCTCGTCAGAATAATCTTATAACAGCTAGGTCTTAACATTATAGTATCTCCCGTTCACCCAAAGTCGCGAGCTTGTTAATGGAACAAAGAGCAAATAAAAGTCCGGAGTAAGTAGAACGATGCATATGATAACCTTGTATTTTCTGACACTGGTATAGATGTGCCTGTTAGAAGACCTTGATCATACAGGTCCGTATGGTTGTGGCCATTTTTGGATTCTCGACCTTGACCGATGTTTTACGGCTCAGTGTCTAGGAGAATTTTCTGGTTGTATTCATCCATTGAAGAAAAGCATTACTCCTCATTCCAAAGAATGGCAGAAATATGTCAACTACTTTCGACCAGGGTATGCTAAGGTTCCCAACCTTTGCAAAGGATGTCGAGATGGAAACGGTGGCTGGGAAGGTCCTTATTAAAGTTCCCTATATATTGCCGTATAAGAACTTGAGGATTCCGTCACAGAGATCAGATACAGTTTTATCATATTCCGTAGATACCTGTCGATGGTGGAATTTCCGAGGCGTTCGGCATTGTCTCCGACACAGGTGGAACCCGTCTCGTTGAATTTGTCAGCGGATTATTCCAAATATATCAATGGGCAGTTCTGTATACCTGTTTTCCTTTTTCTTTTCGCATATCTGGGTATTTACATTTCTGCTTTGGATAGTTAATAAAAATGGGATCTACTTCCTTTCGTTCCCCTGCAATGCGACAGGCTGAAGGTCTGCCCTATTTCACCCCTGCCAACAACGCTGGAGCAGCTATAAACCTACAATCCAACACCCCAACGCTGTTCTACCCATTGCGAATTCGAGATGTCACATTTAAGAATCGCGTGATCGTGGCGCCCATGTGCACGTATTCGGCCGAGTCAGACCCAACTTCTCCTGCTGTAGGTGCGCTCACCGACTTTCACATCGCGCACCTTGGCCATTTGGCCACAAAGGGCGTCGGTCTGATTCTTATCGAAGCCACATCAGTTCAGCCCAATGGTCGTATTTCGCCCAATGACTCCGGGCTTTGGCAGGTTGGGACAGACTCCGAACAGTTTAAAGGACTCCGGCGGGTGGTGAATTTCGCTCATAGTCAAGGGGCCAAAATCGGCATTCAGCTTGCTCACGCCGGTCGGAAGGCGAGCACCGTGTCACCCTGGCTCGCATCCCAGGCAAATAAACGCGGTATCAAAGCCGATGAAAGTGTTGGTGGCTGGCCATCAAATGTGGTCGGCCCCTCTGGCGGGGAAGAGCAAATCTGGGCACCTGGCGACCAATACTGGCCCCCTCGCGAGCTGGAAACGGCCGAGGTAGAAGAACTGGTTCGAGCCTTTGCGCGAAGTGCAGAGCTCGCGGTACAAGCAGGAGTGGATGTCATTGAGATCCATGGTGCTCACGGATACCTTCTTCATCAATTCCTCAGTCCCGTTACCAATCGACGAACCGACAAATATGGTGGCAGTTTTGAGAATCGAACTCGGCTCCTATGCGAGGTGGCTGCTGCAATCCGTGCTGTCATTCCAAATGGAATGCCCTTGTTTCTTCGTATCAGTGCGACGGATTGGCTTGAGAACCAGCCTGTCGCGGCAGGAATAGGAAGCTGGGACATGCCATCCTCAATCCAACTTGCCAAAATGTTACCAGACCTTGGGATCGACTTTCTGGATGTCAGCTCAGGTGGTAATCACAAAAGCCAACGCATTGAGCCTCATACAAATTATCAGATTGATCTTGCGGGCCAAATTCGTCAAGAGATTCACGCCGCCAAGCATGCCACACTGGTTGGAGCTGTTGGCTTCATCACCGAGGCCAAGTCCGCTCGTGATATTGTTCAGGGTGCAGAGGAGGCACAGGCGACCGAGGCAATGTTGTCTGGGCCTAAACCTCAAGCTGATGCCGTATTAATGGCTCGACAATTTTTGCGCGAGCCCGAATGGGTGCTCACGGCGGCCAAGAAACTGGATGTGAAGATCTCTCTCCCGTGGCAGTTTGCCCGCGGCTTACTGTAAAATGGATACATATATATCATATATATTAATGTTTTCTCCTTGTAACCCTTTGATTTCCCCCATACTCTTCTCGTACAATGTAGCCTCTGCACCGTGAAGGCCGAGAAAGAGGGGGGGAAGATCTTCGGCAATCATTTCCAGATTGGAATTCACCGTCACCATTCACGGCAGAGTTTGTGTTTCAACTTTCTCCCCTAGGGCTCTCGTCCGGTCCTTCTCCGACGCAGGTGACTTATCGTATATGAATCTGGGATGAATGGGGGTGCATCAACTGCATCTGTTATCAACACCAACTCCCGCACTTCCCGCGTTGTCCGGTTACAAGCCAATGATTGATCAACGTGCAACGCCAAGCACCGGGCCAAGACTCGGGAGCCGATGTTACAATGCATATATGAATCGGTATTAGATTGGTGCTTATGCGGAGGGGGCTTTATGGCTTGAGATAAGTATAAAGTCGGTAGTTCCAACTTGTACGGAGTAAATGCTACTCTATTAAATTCTCCCTTGCATTGATTACTCAACGCATTCCAGTTCGGATTTAGAGCTGAATCCGAGAAATATCCACATTTATCAAACCCATCATGGGCTTCTCACGTACAGCTTTGATTTTGGCCTTCGCCTTCCAGCCTTTCCTAGGCGGAGCGTTGCCTGCCCCATCACCACCTGGAATTCCGTCTACCTCTACTGCTACCAGTCAGCTGGCAGGGTTGACCGTCGCTGCACAGGGATCGCAGGATGGATATAGTCGTGACAAGTTTCCGCACTGGATTACTATCAGTGGGTGAGTAGATGATATCCCTGTCATTCTGAAGCATGCGCTGAAAATGTTGTCTGCAGAAATTGTGATACACGTGAAACAGTCCTGAAACGGGACGGAACCGATGTGGTCCAAAGTTCCAGCTGCAGTGCCACTAGTGGATCCTGGTTTTCTCCGTATGATGGCGAGACCTGGACGGCTTCAAGTGACGTCGACATTGATCATGTCGTCCCGCTATCAAACGCATGGAAGGTGAGCTCGGATTATCTGACAACATTGACGGCTTGAGATGTTAATGAATATTGGTAGTCTGGTGCATCCAGTTGGACCACAGCACAGCGTCAAGCCTTGGCCAATGACCTTGAGAATCCCCAACTTATAGCAGTCACCGACAACGTGAACTCCTCCAAGGGTGACAAAGGCCCGGAAACATGGAAGCCTCCTCTGGGTACGTTCTAAGCCGTGTGTGTCGTCTACTCTATAGACCACTGACATCAAAACAGCTTCATATTACTGCACATATGCCAAAATGTGGATTAAGGTGAAATCGGTCTATGATCTTACCGTAACTTCGGATGAGAAGGCTGCTCTTAGTGAGATGCTGGATACTTGTTGAAATGTCCATTGTAATTGCTTGAATCGTTTGGCCTCAAGTCGCTATTATATGATCGGTATAGCTAGACCGTGAGGAATTTCATAATGGAAACGAACATGTCACAGAAGACTGGAGAATAAAACGCAAGAAGAGGAGCTTCAACTTTGTAGTAAACAGTGTGCATTCACTAGATTTCATAACGAACCGCATGTGCTAAACGCGACCCAGTTGCGCAATTGATATCCCACTGGAACTTCAATCATACCAGGCGTAGAGCACAGGAATCCAAGAATCAGTGGGAAGCAAGGGAAAGGACGGTTGTGGGGTTCTATACCCTATGGGCTTGTAATAATGGAGCCTTTAGCAAGAATGTCGACACAGAAGTCCACCAATCGGCTCTTCACCAAGAGGACTGGATATAACTGTATCTCAAGTGGAGTCATTTTCAGCCAAGAATTTGCCACTTCCTTTTGCTAACCCTTTTGTGGTAAGCCCTTAGGGTGATTATGGAGAAGATTACTTCTTCATGCTGCCGGAATACCAGCAGACTTTGAGGTGTCGGCTGACATCACTACTGCGTGTTTATCTCTATATGTTGTTGTGCTAATTTGTAGCATTTTCCTCCACAGGGGTAAATCCATTCACCTCACAGCCCGTGGGCGAGGAAGCGCTTTGAACGAAACGAATAAATCCCACATTGACTCAAGTTTTGTAGATACCGAAAAGAAAGTCTGCTTGTTACGAGGCGAGTCGAGTAATGCATGATGGCCTCATGATCAATAGCTTGGTAGATTCCGAATCCACCTATAGTTCCAGTTCATATTTCATATTCAAATTCTTATATAAATCTCCCAATGGTAGATGATACACAAGAAATTTAATTTGGATGGTCATTCATTAGACCTATGGAAAACCCACAATTCAATTCGATGATAAACCTCTGCGTCTGAGATCGTAACTGAACGTACATGGTACCGTCGCAATTCTAACATATGAAAGGACCCTGGTAATCGCCTTCTGTCATCACTGGACCCATTTATAGCTCAGAACTGGGATTTCGAAGACAGGGGCCGTACAAGTGGCGTTGTAGAAAGCGTCGTGCAAACAGCTTAACTCAAAGTCTGTGCTACCGGAGTAGGTGATGCTGCTGCCATTCTCACACTTCATTGCATGTCCATTACCTAGTGTATAATCCATATGTCCTGTTGAACTTTCGAGATTGGTGGTTCCGTAGAAAGCAACAATGCGACCAGCACCACGATCGGCATATCCGCAGTTGCTCTCGCCGTGGCCCATATCATGAATGCGGTACCCAATGTATTGATCGTGGCAAACCAAGCCATCCTCAAAATCAATGTCCAGTGTTTCAACCGGCCCGTAACCCCATGGCTCATAGTTTGGCATTCCGGTCCAGCACAGGTTGACCATAGTCCCATTGCACGTCGCGGGATCGGGCTCACACCACCCATTCCCACACAGACACCCTTTGGCATCGATATCTGCTTGGTTATGGATACAATCTAGACCGTGAGAGCCGTTGTACCATTGAAAATTGTTGACTCGCCATGTGGGAATAGGGCATCCATCAGGTGGAGTGATAGAGCGAGGTTGGAGCTGGGAGGCCGATGTGCATGGTGAAAGTGCAAGAAGACTGAAAAGAAGAAAAGTTGTCATTTTGCGGTGTGGAGATAGGACCTTGATATGAGTTGAAAGAAAACAAGGTGAGATTGAGAGTGACTATGAGCTTTATATATTGAGATGTAGAACAAAGACTGTAATCTTATAGTCGCTCTGTGGGGCCAATATCTGCATGTGAGCTCGCTAAACATAGGTAGTCTTTCTATAAAACAAAGACCAATTGAATTGAGTAAAAATAGCAGAATTTGAGACATAGCTGAACTTGCTCTTAGCGCCTGGTTCGCAGTTGTTTCGTTTATGGGAATTATACCCGACTGCATGATTGAGCGTTCACTATACCCCCACCGTAATGAATTAGACGATCGGGATTTTCGAAGGTCCAGGTCAATCCGCATGCGGCTGCGCATTGATTCCTAAGTATAGTAGTATTTGACTAGGCCATTGGTTAGTTGCAGTACCTCAACACACGGATATTAGAGTCGATACATGAATACACAGTTTCAAGCTTGGTGTACGGGTTATATACATAAGCAGCCGCGCAAATCTTTACCGCTATTCTCTCCATGCCATACTAGTTAGGTAGAGATGAACAACCGACCAGCATGAATTCATAGCGTCCCGCAGCAAAAGTCAATTCTGACATGTCTATTATGGACAAATCTAAAATTCTCGGAATAAACCAGGACAGAATCCACCGACACTATTGTACAACCCACGGGATTGAAATATTATTAATATTGCCGGGGCTGTCTCCGTGTGTCGATTAACTGAATTAAAAGAACTGGGGTTAGAGACACCACTGTGATGATACCACACATCACACCAGCAGCGCCGCTTAGCCCTAGTTTGGCATACATATCAGGGAAGTAAAATGGTCCGCACTAAAGATGAATTCCAGTCAGCATTCAAGTTAAACCAACATCAAAGGCGTTTTTGGATACTCACGAATCCATAGATCTGACGACAGAGGTTAATGAAAACACCGATGCTGGCAGAATGTTCCTTGTGGCTATCGACTGCGAAGGATATGAGGATGGTAGTGAGAATCTGGTTTCCAAAAGCAGCGATAGCCATGCCGATGCATGGTGTAACGTTCCAAGTGGTTGCCTTTTCCAACTGGAAGCCCCATACAAGCAGACCGGCGAATACAGTGCCATATCCGATATATGACAGCCACAAACGATCCGCGGGGATGGTATGGCCCTTGCGACGCTGTAGGAACCGTAGGAACCAATCTGACATTGGTCCACTAACTTGTTCGCCAATAACGGAGCCGATGATGATGGAGACGAACTGGTAACCTATCTGCTGGGCGTTGAAATGGAATTTCTCGCCGAATATCAATGGCGTCTCAACGATAATGGCGATGTTAGCGTAGGCAAACGCGACGCCATATGCAATCCCCGGAATCAGGATACGAGGGTATCTCCCCAGAAAAAGAGGGGCGATAAAGTTTTGCAGCTCGAAGGGGCGAGGGTCGAGCCGACAAGGGATGAGTCGACTCCAGCTATTGCTGGGCTTCTGAGAGACATAGACTTCCTTGACATACAGAGTCTCGTCACCAAGCAGGACGTAGGCAACGAGTTGAAGCCCGTTGATAATTGCAAATATCCAGAATATCCAGGCTACTCCTAGGTGCTGCACAACAAAGCCATTTATGAATGCACCGCCCGGGATTCCGATAGTGATCAGCAAAGTCCACCATCCCAACTTCCGAGCGCGCTCTTCCGGGTAGCACAGCTCTGTCACCACACCGCTGCCAATGCCGAGGGGAGGCGATATGAGCCAGGCTGCAATGGCACGAGTAGCCATCTGCGTGCCAAACGTTTTGCAGAACACGCCTCCGATGTTGCACACCATGGTGCCGAGCACCGAGAACATGAAGATGTGGTAACGGCCATACCGCATCGTTATAGGAATCCAGAAGAATGGGGCAATTCCCAAGATGAGAATCTATGACGGATAAAGGTGTGCGGTTAGCTTGTATCTGCGTGCAATGACAGAAGAATACATACCTGGACAGACGTTAAATAGGTAGCCTGAGGTACCGTGATTTTGTACTCCTCCGCCATTGCTTCATATCCAGGAATGATCCCGGCGGCCATGAAAACGGATACCATCGAGTGGATGGCCACCATCAGGATTTGAGCATTTCGTTTCCACGTGGGCCAGTTGATCGGTGCCTCTGGTGCTTGCATGTCCGAAGTCGCAATGGAGACATCCTCCAGGTGGCTTGAGGCTTCAAATTGATCCTTTCTTATGCTCTCGAGGGTCATACTACCTGATCCAGCAGCTACCGCGGGGGACAGGTCCTCGCTCATTTTTCGCTTGAAAGAAATGAATTGCTTGGCCCTGGGTCGACGGGGCCTAGAAATGGAATTATTGAAGGATGAAACCCATTTGGCCCAATATAAAAGGCCCGGAAGCAATGGACAAATAAGTTGACCTTGAGAAGAACAGGGGGTCAACTCCATAAATCTTGCGGGGCCCCGTGGGGGATGCTTTACGGGAATAATTCCGCGCCAATATACTAAGACCTACTAATCATGCCAAGCGCCCAACACATATATGTACACGGTGTGTGTATTGGGCGCTTGGCACAATTATGACTCCATTTTGAAAATATTAATCCCCCATACACCTACTCTTGGACACCGTAGACGCCGGAAATCATCCCGATAAGGGGTTCCGGAGCCGAGGTTTGAATGGAGATCCACCCGCAGACTCGGGACCAATTCCGGGGTTGGATCGAAAATAATGGAGATATATATGGCCAAGGAATATATCTCAATGCCGAAGGGAATGCCGACACCGGCTGGAGGTCCGAACCATTTAAAGGGCGGAAGTCTGCGCTGTGGCAACGCCAAGGGATGGAACCTTGAAAGCTCTGGAGGGAAGTGACAAACTTGTCGGTGCACAGTAAAACCTATTTATAACGATATAACAGAGTCAGAAAAATAATATCGCTATATCCAGGTATTCGTTCAATCAAGATAATCCATATGAAATATATATTTCTGCTTTATATACAAATCTAGGCGTAAGGCTGTTGTTTCTATAATAGCGGCATATCTGCCTTCGTAGATGGAGCTGAACGTCCGAACCAAACTGTCTCGCGCGAGCTACATGGGGAGAAAAGGCGGGACGTGCAGTTTGTTTGCATCCAACATCCATCCACCAATAATCTTCGAATGTACGTTAAACGTAAAAATATAAGTTGTGAAGAAGTCGCGAGTTGTTTACATTCACATAGGAAAGAGAAGATAACCATCAACAAATTTGATTTAAATAGTACTATAGCCACTTTTGATGTACATATGTAGAACTAAATAACGCTTAACACGGAATTGAAGTTACGCCCTTCAAATGGATTTCTTGCTTTCGGATAGGGTTTGCACAATGCTTAGAACTCCACATTTCTGTTCACCAGTCTAATTTGTTGTAGCATTGCTTTCTGAGTTATAGAAATATTGCCGGCATGTTCAAGTCCAGTACAAAGGGAAAATATGATGTGGTTTGTATTCTCAATGCACGCAAGACCAAGAAAGACGGAAACAAACCCGCACAGGACCAACAATGTGCTATAAGGGCCACAGAGAGAATAATGACAGTCACACTTTATGTCAAATGCTAGTGGTGGTTCTTGTGCTGGTAGTAAGGGTGGTACCGACAGGTGTCGAGCTTGTTCTGAGAGTGGTCCTTGATGGAGTGGATGAATCATAAGCCGAATCCAACATTTTTGCGTCAATCGTGACATCATTTGTACTTTCTCCATCGGAGAAAAGTCGGACATCGACGCCATTGTCTTCAGGGAAGATTTGAGCGGATATTGTGACTCGCCCCTGTCCTCCAAAGACTTCAACCGAGGACCAGTCAAGGAGAATGCGCATTGTGACGTTGCCATCACTGGAGGGAGCCAAAGGGGCAGAATAGGTGTTGGAAAATGTCCCGTCGAAGCCAACATTTCCAGATTTTGTTCGATCAACAAAAAGCATCTTGGTGCTAAAGTCATAGCCGATTCGCGTTTGTTGTGCTAAGTCGGAAGTTGCCCTAAGAATTATGCCAAATTGAGATGAGGATGACGCTGCAACTCTATCCGAAAAGGTCACTGTGATATCAAGCAATTTCCCGGAAATTGGTACAAGCTGGTTCCCTTCAGCCACTGTATCAAAGGTATCAGAGTAAGCTTCTGTTTGAAGACTGGCCCAATTTGCCGTGGGTTGCTGGACTAGTCTTGGCCTGCCATCGATTGTCTTGAGCGAAAGCTTCCGGGCAATGGATAACATGCTGCGCCATGGAGAAGTAGGGATTATGTTAGCATATTGCCAATTGTTCATCCATGCAATATCGATTCGATTTGTGGATGCTAATCCATTGAATGTTGCTGCGGCATAAAAATCTGGCCCATAATCCAACCAGTTGGTTCCATCAGTGCCTTCAGAATCTTGAACTGTGATGTCTCCAGTTTCAGGTGCAGTTGTTGATGTGGATGTAAGCGCTGGCGATGAAGGGTTGGGATCCGCAACAAATTTTGTTCCATCAAAGGATCCCAGAATATATTGCGTTCCTGAGCCAGTCACACCAGGGGGCCCGCCAGGGTTGACTCCAATTTGCACAACCCACTTAGTATTGGCATCATCTCCATCAACAGCAAGTGGAAAGATGCCAGGACACTCCCAAACACCCCCTACTGCATTCCAAGGGCCGAATTCGCTGGCGTAAGTCCAATCCTTAAGGTTCGGCGAGGTGTAAATAACCAATTTGTGGAGTTGGGCCAGCGCAACCACCGAGATCCACTTCTCGCTGGCTTCGTGCCAGAACAAGAATGGATCTCGGAATTCCCGCCATTGGTCTTCATATGGGGCGGGGGGGTTGAGAATGACAGGATTGGCGGCATCATAGGTAGTCCATGTCATGCCTTCGTCCACACTATAGGCAATTGACTGCGCTTGCTGCCCACCGTTGACCGACTTCCCACTAGGTAGCTTCTGGGAATCAGGGTACTAAGTCCCGAAGGTGTTAGAGTAGCCGACTGCGAAGTGTTTTATATACTTACATAGGAAGTATACAATGCAACCAATGGTACCTTTCCATCAGTACCAAAGCCGCTTGTGTTCTGGGTATCGGCGACCGCAGAACCGGAGAAGAACATCTCGGTGATGTGATCTGGGTAGCCACGAGCGAGAAGGGCAACAGGCTGGTGATTCCAGTGTGTCAGATCAGTACTGGTGGCATGACCCCAAGACATAGCCCCCCAGGTGTCTCCTCCTGGGTTGTATTGATAGTATAGATGGTAGACGCCATTGTAATATAAAAGACCGTTGGGATCATTCATCCAGTTTTTAGCTGGAGTAAAGTGATACTGAGGGCGGTAAAGCTCATTGTAAGTTTGAGCAACTGCTGCTTGGAACAAAGAAGCCCCAAGAGCCAAAGCCAGGGCAAGCCGGAAAGCCATCGCAGAGAGAGAAAATCGGATTCCTGGAAAGAAGACCAGGTTTGAAGAGACAGGACTTCTGAATGCTGAAGGATATTCACCTCGGGGCAGAAATACTGGCTTTTATACTTCTTTTCATCGTCGGATTTTACATCGCCAAGGTACATCTCAGTAACACCACTTCCAGAACTTTCACGAAAACGTCCTCTTCGGTCAAAGCGCTCCTAAACCCCAGGTTAGATTTTAGCCGGTTAGAACTCAGTCGGAAATTGCATGTTGTTTACTATACTTTGAATCATTGCTTATGCCGTGCCGCCAAATCCGAATTGGGCCGCACTCCTTAATTCCCCTTGTGCTCCTATGAGGTGAGACATCAGGACTGCACGAAGCGTCTAGTATCATGAGGGGGCAGGTTAGATACCCACACGATAGTAATCTAAAACAGCCAATAAAACCAAAGGAGATGGTTGATGATAATATCAACTATAGAGATTAGAATGATTTATCCGTTTCTTGGCCTTCTTGGCCTTGATGGGGCGTCCTCTCGGGAAAGGGTTGCCCTGCATAAATAAACCGCTCATAGATTTTGAGATGTTGTGATGTCTTCCCCGTGGAGTTATTCACTGTTGTGGATCTGACGGTCCGAAAAAACAAGGGTCAGTCAAACAGATCATCGGTCCGTGTGGGCGTTGCAGTTAGCTATCGCGGTGGCTTTCGACGTCCGCGAGATTCTGCTCCACTTTCAGAAAAAAGGATCAACCTAGAATGTTCCTGACGAATATCCCCAGACCCCGGAGCAATATTTGGATATCGGAATCCGCAAGCCATGGCGTTTTCCCCGCATTAATACGTTTCGAATTATCAATCTGGGGTCCAGGGTTGTCGCGGAGCAGACCCCGATGGTCCGCGATATTCTAAAAGGCTTCTAGTTTGGTTTTTCCGGGCACGTATGCGGGGCGAGATGCAGGGGTAATATGCAGTAATTATAGAGGCATTCAGGAGTTACTCTGAAGAAAACTAAAAGTTGAAATGCGCTTGGCCTGAGTGAATTATGACGTCCTTGGCCGAGGATCTTGATCCATCCTGAGGGTATAAATTACCTTTGTCGCCAGCACTGAGGGTGGATATCAGCACATCATCGCTTTACAAGCACATCTGAATCGTTGCAGCAACCATGTTCCGAGCCTTAGCATTCGCACTCGCCACTCTGGCTCTGGCGGATGACTTCCGCCCAGTCTACCATTTTGTCCCTGAGAAGAACTGGATGAACGAGCCCAATGGGTTGATTAAGATCAAATCAACCTGGCACCTGTTCTATCAGCACAACCCGACGGCGAATGTCTGGGGCAATCTGAACTGGGGCCACGCAACCAGTAGTGACCTGGTCCAGTGGGCTCACCAGCCCCTTGCCATAACAAGCGAGGACGGCGTCGAAGCGTTCACTGGCACTGCCTATTTTGATGCCGACAACATCTCTGGTCTGGGATCTTCTACCAGCCCCCCTATCTGGCATGGTACACAGGGTACTTTCCTTCCAACGGGACCCAGGACCAGCGTCTTGCCTTTAGCGTCGACGATGGTGTGACCTGGACAAAATACCCGGACAATCCCATTATTTCAGCCGCCCAGGAGTCGCCACATGATACGACAGAGGGGCTGGAAAGTCGTGACCCCAAGGTCTTTTTCCACAAGGAATCTGGGAAATGGGTCATGGTCCTTGCCCATGGCGGACAGGACAAGATGACGTTTTGGACATCGTCGGACGCAAAGTCCTGGACCTGGAAGAGCGACCTTTCCGCTGACCAGATTGAAGGTCTACCATCTGGAATCACTGGGTGGGAGGTGCCTGATATGTTCCAGCTCCCTATCCAGGGGACCGACGAGACCACCTGGGTGTTGATTATAACCCCGGCGGACGGATCTCCCGCTGGTGGTAATGGTGTTCTAGCCCTGACAGGATCCTTTGATGGATCAACATTCAAAGCCAACCCCGTCGACCCTTCTACTCTTTGGCTCGACTATGGCCGTGATTTTGACGGCGCCTTGAGTTGGGAAAATGTTGCTGCGGCAGATGGGCGGCGTATCCTTGCCTCTGTCATGAACAGCTACGGTGCTAGCCCACCAACCAATACCTGGAAAGGGATGCTATCTTTCCCTCGGACCATTACCCTGAAGGAAACCGACTCCAAGCGATACTTCCTCCAGCAACCTGTCACTGAGATTGCCCTCGCTGGTTCCTCACTGGCGACAATCCAAAATCAAACTATTACCAGCGACCAACCGTTGCTAACATCCATCCACGGAACCGCGTTAGATATCAAACTTGCCTTCACCATTGACGCAGGCGCCAAAATCTCGCTGAAAGTGCGCAAGGCCGGGTCGGAGCAGACAACAATCCAGTATGACCAGAACAAATCGTCGATATCTGTTGATCGAACGATGAGTGGAGACATCTCCTACGACGCTGCTGCAGGCGGAGTCCACAGTGCTTCCCTGAAACCAGATGGTTCTGGGGTTATTAATCTCCGTGTCCTAGTCGACACTTGCTCTGTGGAGGTCTTTGGAGGGGAAGGAGAAGTTGTGATTTCAGACCTGATTTTTCCTAGCGAGACCTCTGACGGGCTGTCCTTGGAGGTTACTGGGGGATCAGCCGATTTGCACTCTGTTGAGGTGCGCGGTATTTCGCTCAAGTAACATGAGAGCCATGAAATTCCATCGCGACCGTTAGTGTGCCTTGCTGAGTCCAAAGATTGTGAAAGATTGTGAAGTTATTTTCTCTAGCCCTGAATTAGGTCTGTTTTACCTTCACCCTTGATTTTCCATTATCCAGATGCCCATGTGTTGAGAGAGCCACCGGCTTTGGTGCCTTGCTTGCCAGACCTCTCCTAGCTATTTAGTTAGCCAACTAGCTTCGTGTTTGTTTATAGAGAATCAATCCTTCTTCTTCTCTCTCCGCTCTCCGACAACTCCAGGAGCATGGATGGGTATAAAGGAACATATACGCGTAGTTTCGTTTCTATACTTAACTTTCACCCAATTCATTCCTCTTTTCTATTCGTCGACTAAACCAAGTTTGGGCTCCCTCACATCCGCCAACTATCTCACCGGGAACGCAGATTATATAGTATTGGCTGTTGGCATAGTGCTACGCAAGTTGCCCCTAAAGCTTTCACCCGCAATAATCGCCCCCGCTGGATATTTGTATCTCGTCCCTGCTTGGGGCTCGCGGTAGGCGATGTTATTCAGTGGACTTTGTGTGGCACAACCAAGTATAGGACACTTTATAGTATCGAATGGGTTTAGGTAAAATCGCTGCCCAGGCAACCAGCATATTATCTTCCTACGAAATACGAGGCGTAGAATAAATTTTATATTCACATGAAATTCTAACCAGTCTTCTGATCCTTCGCAATTTCCATCCGAGCTTTCAAAGTTCGACGCATATCCTGTATGGATGGACTAAGCTCACTTGGCCCACGCAGAGCATCCACCGAAGCCTCCAGGTGTTCCCAAATCCGTGGCTCTGTGAACATCCGAAGACACCGGACTTCTAAAGCTCTGACTGCGGCAAAGGAAATCGTGTATATACTGAGGCTTATGCATAAGCGCATATTCCAAGAACGGAAAAACGGGATTGCAAGTACAAACCTTGCACACAGGAACCAGGCCTTCGGGAGACATCCCCGAAGGGCAGTTTGGGCTGCACCAAGAAAGCTAGTGACCGATTCAAAGAAGAGAGCGCGGTGTGGTAGTAACTCAGTGTCTACGAATCCATCAAGCATGATTCGGTAGATCGCCGGCCAGTAAATTGATACCTCGTACATATGGTACTTAGCTCGGCAAATAGGATCATTAATGCTCAGAGACCCGAGGTCATTATCTGGACAGAAACTATCTTGCAAAGAGCCTGGCGTCTGGCTTGAATTTGCTTGCCTCTCTGAATGAGGAGCACCGTCCTCATATGTACCCAGTACATCTGTTGCTGAGCTAGCATAGCGATTCAGTACTTGTTGTAAATTTACCTCGGTACAAAAGTTGAACAGTGACTGCAGCGTTTCATTTGGTGAATAAGCTTCGCTATTTCGAAGAGTTCCGCATAAAGATGAGGTCGAAAGTGCATTCGAATCACTGAAGTGATCCCACGGGCAGCTGCCTGTTGGCAATGAAGAAGTCGTCAACCCACCGCGTGGCCTTTTACCGAAGCATGCTAGGGTCAAATGCATGGATGCCTCACTAGATGCTGGTTAGTCCAAAGGGTAGGAGGAAGCCGGCAGGAACAGACCTCTTTATTAGGTAAATCGTTAAGTACAAGCGCATGATGAGGTGTGACTCAGGGGAACCGTCGGAGAAAGATGAACGACTTATTCCATCAGCGCAGGTTAATTAAAGGTGCACGAATTGGTGAGGATTCCCTGATGCAGATAATAGCTCACCTTTTCAAAAACGGCTGAACTTTCACAAAGGCAGCTTGTATATAGTCATATGCTGGTTTTGGCTGGAGGAGACAAGAGAAGTATATGCTAAAAAGGGCCAAGCATTGAACACTTGTAATGCTGCATTCCTGCATCGCTATTGGCATCATGGACAAGGCAGATTCATAGTGCGGGGAATGGGGTCGACCATCGACTAAACTTGCAATCGCTGCAACAAGGAGCGATAAACACGATATTGTAGAGTAAGGAAAGCCGGCAGCTTTGGTTTGGAAGAAATGGAGTGTGAAATCAGAATGCAGGATGGGATACCACTGATGAACCTGATCCTGAAATCGGTGGAAGATACTGGTGGTAAAGTAAGATGGATGGTCTTTGGTTTGTAGACTCTTCATTGTTGGGGACCTACAGATCGGTAGATTCGACACACGTTGCTTCAGTGGCAGACGCAGGAATTCGGGGAACTGCGGTTTCTAAGCGGTACAAACCAGATGATAGATCTAACGGTAAACCGAAAACTTCCATGAGATGAGGAGACTTGAGGACAAGAGGTGGACAATTGTGTGGAGGGGTAGTGTCAAGTCCTGCTGACGGCTGCAGTCGACGTTCCAGTAACGGGGTGATAAACTCCAGTCGCTCTCGAATGCTCATGAGCTCCTGTACCCACCTACCACGACCATATCAGATATTATAGACGTCGATGTGTGGAAAGGCTCAACGTACGGTGAGGGCCGAGAGTCAGGAGCTTGTCCGTAGACACATTCTACATTTTGGGAGACGCAGAATGAGCATCTGGGTCTGATTCGATCACATCGCCTCCTACGGAGGCGACAGTTGTCGCAGACCGAAGCCGCTTTATATGAGAGCATTGTCGAAGGGACCCTCATGAATACCAAAAGTTCGTCCTAGACTGATATGAGGGCATTATTTTATACCCGCCAAAGGTGACACTTCGTGTCCCAGTCACGGTTTCGGGGCTAGTAGCACGGATGTCGGTTCCGAGGTCCTTCTCGTAGTAAGTACTTCGTCGTGGAATATGTCTGAGGGTGGGCGAGTGATGGAATGGGACCATTCTCCTGATAAATACAGCGCTATATCTAGCTGCAATTTCATTGGGCGGTTTTTAGTATCCTCGGTTGGAAGGCTCCAATCACAGGGGTCGAAATTAGTCATCGCGTAGCGCCGCCTCTTCTCCGCGAGATGGTATTTTGTTCTAGCCACACTCGATCCCCGCAGCTTGAAACTTTACCGTAATAGTCCATTTTGTCGGGAATGTTTCTACATTAAAAATTGCGGAGAGGGGTTTGAGCACTTTTCTTCTCGCTTTGGGCAAGGGGGGAAAAAGCTACATATTCTTTACATCAAGCTCGGAGGATGGCGTATTCGTTTGTTGCTTTGTTTCACCGGCATACAATATTGCATCTATAATGTGATTGCAACCATACCATGACAGGCTCAAATAGTATCTGTTCATATACGCTTTCGGTGCAGCATTATAACCATGCGAAAAGAACAGTTCAACGCCCAGTTGATGACCCTGCTGCTCTAATTCTGGAAGCCTGGTCCCAAGGCCTCATGATGGGTTCACTCATCATGATGGCTGCAGTTACCTATGCGAACATGCGACCAGGTGTTCTGCTGCACAAGTTGATCTTATTAGAGGTAGCCCTGCCGCCATTGATGTAATAATACCTACTAACGTGGCCACTTCCTGATAGTTGATTCTAGCCCTACCCCACGGAACATTCATATTCGCCCCGGACCCTGTTTACGGTTGGTACCTGGCCACAACCACTATTGGATTGATCGTATCCTGGTCTTTGCACAACGTGATCGCGTGGATGAAGAACAGGCGGTTCATGGGCCGTAAAATATCGCTGTTCTATGTCGGCACGATCATCCTGGCTCAGCCATACTGGGCAACCGAGATTTACGCCAACTTCGCCTACTTCAACAACATAAACCCTACGGTTTACGAGAAGATTCGTCCGTGGGAAGCACTGTTTCGGTAGGAGCTGTCACGATGGTGAAATCTTATTCATCTTTGGCTACGTCGACTAACCAACCCTTGACTCAGCGATCCGTGGTGGATTTATACTACGTGCAACCTCTTTTGGGTTATCAAGACACATTACAACTTTGGCATCCTCGAATTAATACGCAAATCTCCTCGATTCGGGCTCATGCTGGTCTCAATGTGTCTCTCCATTGTCTTCATTGCCCTCGACGTTATCAGCGTCACTGGGGCACTCAGCTCCGCCATGCCACTAGGCATCAACCCCTTTTGGAAAGTGAGGTCCCATTCGGTCCCCGCTAGAAGGATTTTACTTCCTCTTGTGTCTACGGCTGACGAATGATATATCCTTTAGCTATGCTTTATGTTCAAGTGCCTGTGCGATACCATTATTCTGGATGATTTCAAGACTGCGCTTGATAAGCTTAGGGTTAAATGGCTTGCCAGGCAAGGGATTAATGGAGCCCACACACTAGGTTAGCATTCTCCTCGGTCTCCTTTCCTCTGCCTACCATTGATGCGATCAAGTCCTGACGCATCCAGTATCCTTAGATTTTAGAAGCCACCCGTCCTTTACTAACGAGCGTGCTACGCCGCATATGGGAGATATTATCTCATTGAAGCGCCCAGTGAGCGCTGTACATATTGAGCGAAAGGGAGAATTGTGATGAAACTATGGGGTAAGAATTATAAGTGCTAAGAAAGAATTACCGAAATAATGTACGTTCTGGTCATACTATCTCTTGGCGTAAGCTACACTATACTAAAACGTACTATATAACTATATCCTAAATACTATAATAGATCTTTTAATTACTTACGATCCTTTAACCTAGAATCGACCCCGACTGTAACGGATAAAGATCCTTACAATTTACAATATGGAGACAAGAGTCACCCGACTTCGTCGGTCAGGTAGCGGGAATGGCATAGATTGGCCACTCGCTTGCCGAATTAGTTCGGGTTTTTGTAGTATACTCGGCCCCGCTAATGTAATAAACCTTATATACTTGTCTTAAAACGAGTGTTTCACTTTCAACGACACAATATAAAGATGTCTGCTGCTTTCGATGGTAATATATCTAGGAGCTTGCTGATATGCTGCCGACCGGCGTTGCAATCCTCAATCAAAATGACGAGTCAATCATGGTATAGTATCATAGTATTGAAAATTACGTTGCTGAGAGCCAGAAAATATATACATCACAATCATAAAGTGATAAATATTTCCTAAACTTCCTAGAGAGGATACCACCTAAAAAGCATCAGACTACTAGGAACACTCTATATAGACTACCGTTGTTGAGATATTAAGTTGTAATTTATCGCACCATGTAGTTGGGGTGGCCGGCTCGCTTGTGTGGCCGGGCCGGGTGTGAAATACGTTATCCGGCGCAAATTTACTATGTACTGGCTGATTCCCCTTCATTAATTTCGCCAGTCAGAAAAATTGCTGAGACTCTCCACCGATCACGGCCTGGAGCTTAACTCTGGTTGCTTCGAATAGTATTCTGCACTTACTACATGTCTGTAGATAAGGACAACCACCCACTCCAGCCTCTTTTTTTTTCCTATCAGGTATCAGTAAAATTCCACTCTTCTTCATAGTTTCCGGAATAGACTTGGGGTGTTCAGTAAAAGGATTCCGGTAGCGGCGATAGCGGTACAGGTGAATCTACAGTATCCTGATGTTAGTAGTGTTTATTTGTTGACTCCACCCAAGTATGCTTGGTGTTGGGCTTACGTAACGGTAAATAATAATACTCCAAAATATAATTAATGCAGCCGATAATATCTCACCGGCATCCCACCAGCATTCCCTTCAAGCTTCAAAATGCAGAATTATTGATAAGCAAACCAGCAGCGAATTACAAATACGTTACTAATGATTTGTTATATTCATAGTAATATATTGATATAAAGAAAGGTTATCACATGTTTCTCATATTTTTCTCTATTAAACAATTCTTGCTCCTTGCTACTTCAATCACCATGGTCCTAATCTGCGTTGGTATAATGGGTCTTTCACCGGGTGCTTAGGCAGCTAATGCTCATCTACCATATCTGCAGAGTCCCGATTCGAAAATCGCGATTGTGGCTGTTTGCAACTCATCAGTGGAAAGTGCCGCGAAAAGCGTCAGGGTCCTCGGGCTGGGAGAAGGAGTAAGGGCTTACGGAAACGTGCAAGGAATATGAGAATGGCATCAACAAGCCCTAAGCTCGAATGGCCCCCTGAAAGGACTCCTGATGAGGCAAAGCAAACAATGTCAAACTCACTGCAGTCGGGCTCCAGGGCCGATTTGAAGCTACCGTCGAAACTTTGAAAGGCCTACTGGTAGACGGAAGAATTGGAACGGTCCTCAGCACCAAAATTACTAGTTAAGGGCCTGTTAGTGGTCAAACAGAGTCTGAGGCTCAAACTTATCTAATTGACCATAAAAGCGGCGGTTCATTACTCACGATTCCGGCCTAACATTTGATGCAGACTGTACGGGAGGGTAAGGGTTAAGAAGCGTGCAATCTCAAAGCACTTGACCTAAGTTGCATATACTAATTGTTCGCAGCCCCTTAGAGATTTCTCAAGCCCTTAGAGATTTCTCAAGCTTTCAGTCTCTTCTTGTGTGACGAACTAACGACCAGTTATTAATTGTTAAAAGCCGATGGCTCCGTTGTCAAAGAAAACGCCGACAAGACAACTCTGGATCATATCATAATTCAAGGTACGCTCAAGTCAGGTGCAGTACTTTCAGCCGCTATTCGAGGCGGAGCGCCATTTAAAAGAACACCCGGGCTTGTATGGAACATCTATGACGAACAGGGAGAGATCAGAATCACAGGTCCCAGTGCCTTTATTGGGAGTGTTGGTACAACCAGCTTTGGGCTTCACAACTTCCACACCGACAATGTGGAAGACATTGAGCTCAAAGAAGGAACTTTTGCCAAGATGGGCCCGATCAATAGGAATATCGCTCGTGTCTGTGAGGCAATTGCTGAAGGTGGCCATGGTGTTAGGTGTGATTTTGAAGATGCTGTGAAAAGGCATGAGTTCATTCGGGAAATTCATGACCAAAATGTAAGGTCTAGGTCAAACAGCTTGTGAGATTAATGTACGAGACTTTGATCAAATCGAAACCATTGTTTCAAACTCAAGACTTGGATGCCAGTTGGAGCGAGTGTCTGTGTAATAATCTATGTGTAATTGATAATCTCGTAGAACATACTCCCAAGACAAAGAATACCCACAGCGATGTTTGCAAGAGGGTCCATAAAAGAGCCCGCTTGAGGCAAGTAGTAAGATTAGTTTCGAAAGTTTCGAACTTGCCGTAGTAGCTGCGCTACATTCCATATACGGTCAGACCTGCATGTTGAAAGTGCCTCTCTGCACTTCCCTGTCTTGCATCTACTATGTAAACACATTATTCGAGGAAGTTATCAAATACTTGGTCTGGAGGTTTTTCCGTAGGACTGGCAATGACGCATTATAAAGGCTTTTAGCGCAGCAAAGAACTCCTAGATAGGATTCAGGTCTGGAAAATGTGGAGGCAGGTATACTAGCTTCATACCGGCTTCTAAACACGTCTACTCTATTTAGCCAGAGTGATGGAAGGATGCGTCGTCCATAACTAGGACAGATTTCTGCTTAGGCCATTTCCCATCTTGCTAGCGGAGCTGCTCAATAAAATTCTTAAAGCCGAACGCATCAGTCAAGCCTCGGAACAATTAAGAGAGAACAATGCCATCTTGAGCATTTGCAGGTAGTATCTAATATCGCCAATTACGATCAAATTTGGATACTTGAACTGGTATTGTCCCTAGTGAAGACCAGTCAGTTCACTTGAAGTGTGTGCTTTTATCACCCCCAGATTCATCCACATAGCAAATTCGACAAACAAGCTGGTCACTTGTGTGCCCCAGAGCACAGATGCGGAGCTCAACGCCGCTGAGGAGTCGGCCGAGAAAGCCTTCCCCGCTTGGAGAGCTGCAAAGCTACGGTGGACCAGCCGTTCAAATCCATGTTTGGAACGTCTGTGGCCACAAAGCCCGGCCATGATTCTGGTAGCTGTGTCCTGAGAAACCGGCTCTGGGGAGAGCATAGCCGATTATCTGTACGAAATCAGACTTTCAAGGAAATTATTTGATTGGAGTTTAGGATGACATGACATTGGCATGATCGGAAATCCCCAAAAGAAGTTGTACAGGCCCAGCCCACACGCTGTCTGCCTATCAAAGTTGAATACAACATCTATGATATTGCCATGCTAAATGCGACATGAATGAACTTGCTGGTTAAGAATCCTACATATTGATAAAATATGACGATTTGAACCCTGATTTTATGATGCATTTGACTATACAAACTAGAATAATTTTAGGCTTTGATTTGGATGCTTAGTCTGGGGGTGTGTGTTGGAAATTGGACCATCCCATATATGACTATTTGCTTGCTTGTAAACTGAGGGGATTATTTGTCAGACACAGGGTATAAACAACCTGTTTCTTCATACATTAATAGCAGAGACGTTCACCTTCTTCACGTCTCCTTCCTACTCTAAAAATAACTTAAACAATAAAGCAAGTAGAATAGTCAATCCCCGGTATCCCGGCGTTTTTGCCCGACACAACACCTTTCATCGGCAATCGCTCCCAAAAACCCCGGAACGTTCCTCGGATTAAGCCTGGGCAGGTGCTGTTTCGTGAAACTCGCTGCGTTCTTCAACTAGGCCCTTCTCCCCAAATTTGTTTGATGTCTCCTTCTTCTCGGTCCAGGTGATGGTTGGCCTCCAGCCAACACTTTTCCTGGCAGAGCTGACCTCGCGGTAGAGCTCATCAACTTCCTCTAGGCTCAAGCCCTTGGTCTCATAGATCATGGTATACACGAACGCGATGCAGAGGAAGCAGCAGCCGAACCAGATAAAGAAGATCTTGGATTGCAGGTTCGCATTACCGGGTCCATAATTGACCAAATAGGGTGTAGCAAAGCTCAGTGCCCAGTTAAGCAGCCAATTGGTGGCGGTGGTCATAGACAGGGACTTAGCTCTGACATTAAGAGGGAAGATCTCTCCAGTCACAACCCTTTGATCATATTAGCTTCATGGATAAACAGGGAGAGTGTCAAGAGAAAGAAATAGACTTACCAGGCAATCGGGCCCCAAGAGGCAGCGAAGAAGAAGATGTAGATGCAAATAAAAGCGATGGCCGCCTTCTGAGCAGCTTCATTGTGGACAATAATGTTTCCAAGGTCATCCTGGCTGGTGGTTGTAGTTCCTAGAACGGCAACAAGAAGTTGAGACACAGTCATGCCAATAGCCCCCGCAAGCAAGACTGGGCGTCTTCCCCACTTGTCAATAGCAAAGAGACCAGGAATCGTAGAACCAACGTTAACGCAGCTGGTAATCAAACTGATGACAAACTCATTCTTAAATCCAGAGTTCTTGAAAAATTGGGTACCGTAATAGAAGATAAAGTTAATACCGGTTAATTGCTGAAGGCCCTGGAGGAGACATCCAGTAAGAAGACGTTTTCCAAGATTACCATTAAAACACTCCATATAACCAGCGCTTCCAATGCTCATCTCATAATCATGGTTTGCCTGGATTTCGGCAAGTTCCGCGAGCAAAGCAGGATCATCTTCAGGAAGACGTCTGAGCTTAGCTAGGCTCTTAACAGCACCTTCGTGGTTATCTCTCTTAATCATGTAGCGAGGTGTTTCCGGAAGGATAAGCATGCCAACCACAAGAACAATGGCCCATGCAAATTGGACCGCGATCGGGATGCGGTAAGAGCCGGTGTCATTGCGAGAATGGGTGGCATTATTCACCACAGATGCCAGCAAAAGACCGATTGTGATAGTAAATTGATACGAGCCAACGATAAAGCCACGAATCCATTTTGGGGCCGTTTCAGACTGGTAAAGGGGGACTTACCAACACATTTCGTTAGCGATGGGAAACTCATGCAGCGGGATAGAAAAAATACTCACCCAGTGCCGAGATCAAACCAACACCGAAGCCTGCAAAGAAACGTCCCGCTAAGAAAAAAGGAATACCTGTTGCAGCGGTCTGGAATATGACACCAAGTGTAAAGACAGCGGTTGAAATGATCAATCCCCAACGACGGCCAATGAAATCTCCCATGGGGGCTGCACCAAGTGCACCGAAAAAGGTACCCGCAGATAGAATAGATACAATGGCCGAAGATTGACTGGAGGTTATGGTAAGATTACCATCAGAGCCTCTGTAACCGGTAGAGAACAGCCTCTCCCAGTACGGCATGGCGAGAATGCCGCTGATTGTGCCTGTGTCATAGCTGCGCAAACGATGAGCTCAAGCTAGTACTCGGAGATCGAGAGACTGTATCAAACTTACCCAAACAGAATACCTCCAAAGGCGACAAACCCGCTAATTAGAATGGCAGGCCATGCCTTTCCCGCAGTCCCCTCGGGCTGTTTGATCAGGATACCCATCTTTGCGACAGATGAGGATTTATATTGATGGCAGGAACTTGGAACAAAGATCAAGGCTGGATTGTGAGCTGTGTGCAATCAAGCTGGAATATGTGGGACCTGAGGAGAAGAGAAGATGCTGCTGGAATAACGAGGATGGGAGGAACGAGACGTGATATTTATGTATGAACAAGCCTGGAAGCGAGCTATCGATGAGCATGTATGAAGTGGAGTACCTCTCAACAAAGCACCATCTAACCATTATTCTTTATAACCACATGATCCAATAACAGTCCGAACACGTATGGGGCAGCATTACTACAGGGATATAAGTGTGCAAGGGATTTATATTGCGGAGAAGTGGGGTTTCTCCGCGATCACCTCAGAAAGAGACCTCTCGCTTTGAGATATTTCTTAGCGTTTTCTAGCGGGCTCTTCAACCCCGTGCTGTCCATATGGGGTTATCGGGCGCAAAAGTAACGATTTCCTACGGCCCGTGCCACCGTCTTGGGGCCCATACGATCTCTGCTTCATCCGACCATACATGGTTTCTGACCTGATCTGACACCAACACTTCCATCCAGTGCATCATCACCGGCGCTAATCATTTGCCATTTGACCAGAATAATTTGCTCTAAGCTGATTGTGGGGCGTGGAGGCAAACCTCGTACTGACATGGAGGAATTAGCGATTAATCATCTGTTCCGATACTAGGACGCAATCTAGAGCCCCGAGAGCTTTCACAAATTTAAGCGTGTCAGCCACTTGAGAATCTTCGGAGCCACTTCGGAGTTTTAGGTGAACTGCTGTGACTAGAGCAATACGAGAACAGAACGTTTTGTGGTACTTGACGCCACTAGTTGAGGTCCGCGAGTGGCTTTTCCAGGATCTACTGGCCGCCAGGAACTTATTCGCTCTTCTTCTCGCTACCATTAAAATTCATTTTTGATAAGTTGGGAATATCTAAATTAAATTGTCAAAAGTGGATTTCATAATCGTCGCAAGGTGATTTACCGAGAATACGACATGACCATTGGAAGATATTGTCAAATGTCAGGTATGGCGCCTCTAGGCCCCATATAATTAACCTTGGTTTTTATTTGGTCTAGTGGTAAAATATGCTGTATTTTTTCCCACAGATATGACAGAAGTCTGGCTGTATGAAATGTATGGTATGAACTCAGTACATGGAACTCTCTGTATTTCTGTATACGCGATTTAGTTATAACTAGTTACTTGGAATAAATTGATTATCCAAGTGAAATTCCGGGTATCCCCGCGGTTTTTTTCTGAGTATCTCCGAGCTTGTAGCCCAGATAATCGATATCTCACAAGGACTGGACGACAGCCACGATCTCAAGGCTACGACGAAGGAAGGGAGAAACAATACCGCGCATTTGTTCTAACTGTCTGGCTCTGGAGGCAAAGAGAACTAGAGACGAGAACTAATAGACTATAGTCCTTTAATAAATGGGAGTCATGTGACCCATAGCCCCGGCACACGGGCTAACCCATCGGACTCCTTCCCTCCGGGTCATGCAGGGATGGATGGCTTGCTGATCCCTATCTGGCCACTCACCGGCATAACCGCTGCCGCTCCCGTTCTGATGTGAGGAGCTTGACGGCTGAAAATTGACTCGCATTTGTTGCCCGAAAATGTGCGTAGCTCGCAGTTTCAGTGGCTGGCAAAGTCTCCACGCGGAATAGAGTCATAGCGTACTGGTGCCCGAAGCCGTCGGGATGGAGATTCTGGACCCCGATTTGACGGTTATTCTTTCCCCTCCTTACCCTTCCCCGTAATGCGTGAGATTGTTCTGGAAGCATGGTGTTGTGGGGTAGGAGTGCAGAGCGCCATTGGGCCTCCGGGGCACACCAGTGTACTATACTCCGCAATGGAAGAGACTTATTTATCTGTTGTTAATTTAATCTTAAACCCAGGCTAATCACCTGTCCGCAATTCCGCAATTCTAAAAGGTATGCATTTGTCATGGACTGCAGACAGCCGTAAGGCATCTGGCCCAGAAACCTGCGGGCAGACAATGGATCTTGATGGCCTTCCGAATCACGACACTAAGAGACGCAGGAGCGCTCTCGCATGTAACACATGTCGGGGAAGACGGACAAAATGCGATGGCAAGCGCCCCAGATGCTATTTTTGCATTGAACGTGATAAAGACTGCTTCTACCCGGAGACGCAAGACCTGTCCGCTTCGTCGTGAGTGACATTCCCATTGAAAGAAAGAAACGTGCCGATTTTTAACATTATCCTAGCCTGAAGGTGGAGCTTTCGAGGCTATGGGAACAACTAGACCATATCACCGCCGTAGTCCAAGGCCAAACCCCACAGGGCTCTCCCTCCCATAATGAGCGAGAGGACCATCTTACTCTTACAGCCCCTGTCTCGTCTTTAGGCTTTCCGTTTATGGTAATACAGAGTGAAGAATTCATGAATTTGCTTGGCCTCAAGCAATCCCTGCCTGTGCTCTTTGAGCATGTAGAACGCGGCAGAAAAGCAATGCCTGCTCAATCACATGGCGCGAACATCGTGACGGTCGATCCTGAGGAGGCATTAATGTATGTCAAGTTATGAATGTGTTTCTCAGCCCTTTAGACGCGGCCATTCTGACATCATGTTCACCTTCTATAGTCTTCTAAATGCGTTCCGGGAACAGATCCATACCTGGTATCCCATCCTGCATGCAGACTATACCGAGGAGTTCATCCAGGCAATAACATCGTGTTTCCCCACGTCAGTAACATCATGCGTTGCTCTCCTCGTCTTGGCCATTGGTTGTGTCGTGGAATGCAGATCTGTCGTTGATGCCCTGCGGATCCGCCCGGAAGCAATATACATCGAAGAAGCTATGAAGATGCTTCCGTGTGCATTTGCACACAGTGACCCACGAAGCGCGCAGTGTCTGTTATTGTTCTCCATATACCACTTATGCTATGGGCAGCCATTTCAGGCTTATGATTTTGTCGCAATGGCGTCGTATAAACTGCAGAATTATATCATAAAGTAAGCAGAGGCGTCTTTGGACTAACTCGGCTCGGATACAAATGCTGACAATAGACCCACAGTGAATTTGATGCCGACAATGATGCCATCCAAATGTCGATTCTCCCAAATTACTTCTGGTCAGCGTTGCTGATCGAAAGGTTCCGCTCCTCGTCCGCTCTCGTGCCAACAGAACAAAACGGAAACTGACGGCTTTATAGCGAGATTACAGTCCAGCTTGGCCTCGTTAACAGCGGGATCCACGAGATGGCTTCATTTGCCCCTGTCTCAATATCCTCGGGTGCCTGGACATGGAATTTAAGTCAATCTTCCCAGTCATCTACACCCAGCGATAGCGATAGCGAGCTATACTCCCAAAGCAGCGATCTGTCATATTTCGTCGCGGAGATTGCGATGCGAAAAATGCTCCAACGCTGCACGTGGTCAACGAGTACATCAGTACAAGGTAGCCATATTTATGCGCCTATCGTCGCGGCCGAGCTCGAGCGACAGGTAGATGAGTGGCTACAATTACTCCCACCGCAGCTATCTTTCCGTTCCTCCAATGCCATCGGGTCTCACCCGCGGCGGGATCCGAACTCGGCCCAGGTGGAGTTTCTTCGTACCCAGTACTACGCATTTAAGGCATCGATCTATTGGCCAGCGGTCCACGAAGCCCTTAGTACGGGAGTGGCCGACAGCGACCTCCTCTGCCACTGTGCGAAATTCTTTACAAGTTTCGCCGAGTTTGTTCCCAGTGCTGCTGCTGCAGTAGCCGTCTGTAAGCCAAATTTGTGGACCTTGTGTACAAGGTGAGCCGTGCTGTTGCCCTTATTTTACCGTCGCATCCACTGTATTACAATCTGCTGACTAGTTCCGGCCTGTAGTGTGTTTACCATTTCGATGGGGGCGCTGGCAGGGATGACGGAACCATGTCTGGTTGGAATTGTTCCCCGAGAGGCCATCATCGGTCTGAAACTAGCAATTAAAGTCTTCCACGGGGCCGCGGAGGTCAGCCCCTCGCTGTCAGAAATGGGTGCGATAATGAAGGAAAGAGTACAGCTGTATGATTGTAGTTAGACGAAGCAATTAACATATTTGCCACAACTCGGCCACAAGCTCGTAAATAAAATCATCTTCAACCACAATGGGGAAGCCAGTTGAGCAAAATGCAAAATTCCAAGTTCCTCGCAGCGTTCTTTATCTTACGTGGCTGGAAGAGTTGGAAAAATGCCTTCAAATAGACCTTGACGCAGGTCTATACATTGACGAGGGTCGAGTGGATGGCTTTGCAGATATTCAACAGGTGATGCCACGCCTGTCCGACAAGTCACACCCTATATCGCTAAATCGCAAGCGGAAGCCACGCGTCAATCAATTTAAACCCTTCTTCTTCAACCACCCACTATTCCACCGATTCGCTCTTAACGCTACGAGCTAGTTCTTTAAACAAAAAGAGTGCATTCAACGAAAATACTAAGTACAGAGAGAGAAAGAAAAAGAAAAAGAGGAAGGCATTGGTGGAGTGAAAGGTTTTGTGGGTCCCGCTCCATCAATGCAAACACCGCAAACACTCAATCAAATGTCCGAAGAAACACTACGAAGCGGTAACGAGCGGCAGAATGATTTCGGCCAAAATACTCAGGAATGGATCGTCACAAACAGTGGCGTATAGAAGTGTTTCCCTTCGGTCTAATGGTTTTTAGGTAATATATAACCTTACTATAGAGTTTAGAGGGTTCTTATAGCTTGGTGATGAAGATATATGTATTTATAATTTAGAGCGATGTATTTTTTGATACTACACTATTGCTACTTTTTATTTTACTTGGACTTGATATATATCATTCAAAATCCTGTAAATATGGAATCAATCAAATACATTGTTATTGGGATATAAGGTTGTAGCTTACCGGATTCAGTATGTGTTTCAGACTGCGTCACTGGCTTACCGAATACGTTAGTTAAACACACCTTCGCATTTCATCTTCCACGGATGCATACCCTCTACCAAAAACGGTTAGATGGGTGTACTCGGACAAGAGGCGGTGTGGGTCGAAGGTCGGAAGGGATACTTTTTTGCTCTGTTCCTCTACAAATTCGAGCTCTCTTTGTCTCTTACAAACCTCTCCTTCTCAGGGTCTTTGGGCTTCTAGTATTGGCGTTACTATGGTCAACCTTCGTACCGTGACCTCTCTCACGTATTTGACGCAAGTCGCCTTGGTAGGCAATGCGCAAACTCATAATTCCCAGCTGAGGGACATTGTTCCTAAGCGTGAGGTTCTCTACGTTGGCGGACGATACACGAACATTACAGCAAGTCTCGATTCCCACTAGTTTCTACGCGTATCTAAGACTGGAAAAATAGGACAATGCAACAAACTCTACATCAGTGGCTATGATAGGGCAAATTTACGTCGAGAAGCTTTCTCCGAGGCCAAGCCCGGCCAACCCACCACTTCCCATTGTCTTCATCGCAGGCGCCGCTCAGACTGGGACCAATTTCCTTGATACCCCAGATGGACGGCCAGGATGGGCATCTTATTTTATCTCCAAAGGGCATACAGTCTACCTCTCGGACCAGCCTGCACGCGGCCGCTCCTTTGGGTTTTCCGGACAGGGAAGTATCGGCTACATTGGCTCCCCCAATGCTGTCTCTGATATTTTCACCGACGTAGCAAACAACGACAACCAATGGCCGCAGGCGAGGCTTCACACACAATGGCCTGGCACCGGTCGCATTGGCGACTCAACTTTCGACGCTTTCTACAGGAGCCAGATGCAGTTCCAGACCGACCGTTTCATAAGCGAAGAACAAAATGCGCAGGCATATTCAGCTCTAGTCGACCTCGTAGGCAAATGTTATATCATTAGTCACTCGCAGGCGGGTGCATACGGTATCTTCAGCCAAACCCCATGACTCGCTACAGTGGTTAACGATTGAGTAGGCTGGAGGGTCGGAGACATGCGTGCAGACCTAGTCAAGGGGATTATCCAGCTCGAGCCATCTGGTCCACCATTCACGCTCCGCCCACCAATTGGGAATGACCCCGCTTTCGCTTTCGGTCTCACTGACCTCGAAATCGGATACAAACCGTCTGCAGGCAAGAATGCCGAAAATATTGAGACAACAATAGAGCCAGCAATCGACGCCGATCACGACGAGTGCATCATGCAGAAGTCCCCAGCGAAGCAGTTGACGAACCTTGGCAAAATCCCAGAACTGATTGTTACTGGCGAAGCATCGTTCCATGCGCCATACGATTACTGCACCGTCAAGTATCTGGAGCAAGTTGGCGTAGACGTTGAGTACGCGGATCTAGGCAAGGAGGGCATTCATGGAAACGGACACATGTTCTTCATGGAGAAAAACAACCTTGAGATCGCAGACCGGGTGTACCAGTGGCTGAAAAAGCACTAATGCACGCATAATAGAGAATTGATTCTCTTGACTGCATTCATTATTCCATGGTCCCTGTACTTTTCATCTAGGTTATTGACCGCCAGGAAATAAGTTAGTGGATGGAAAAGGTAGACACTATTGTCAGCCCGCCAACGACAATTTTGTCCCTGAGTGATATTTGACCCGCAGCTGTTACCTGAAAGTTTGAAGAGGGGCTACGGGGGTACAGTGCAGTATGGCAGCTGTACAGCGCACAGCTCGCCAGTACACAACTTAGGACTTGTGGAGATGATCAACATGAGAATGATGCTGAATTAAATCTATAGAGCTCTTTAAAAGGCCTAGTGGATGGAATTGAGCTCTCTGAACAAACCCACACCTACCTTTTCACAAACCGCGCCAGGTGCGACGCTACTGTCCCCACATCCCCCAATTCCGCCATGGCCCCAACATACCTGTCAGGCCGCACGACCGCCATAGCTCTCCTCCCCGGAGCAACACCCAGGCGAGTGTATGCATCTTCACCTTCTGTCGGACACCAGCCCGAGCCGTCGAACAATCGCATCTCTGAGTACACCTTCACAGTTCTCGGGAGATCTTCCCAGCGGAAATTTCGGCGGACGCAGAAGCCAGGATAGAGGACAACCTGTTCGATAAGTGAAGGCGGAAAAGTGGGAAACAGTGACACTCCGATTGTATTCATGGTGCTGGATGAAATACCAAAAGGGGGCTTAAGGCTTAGACTGGGTGGAGAATAAGTTGGGCGCATGGAGGGATTTTGTCAGGACCGATATTGAGTTCCATGAGTGTCCGGGGATTCACGCGCGCATCTTCAATCCTGACCATATTCCGGAGTTTGTCAAGAGCTTTAAGGCGGCGATGAAGAGGGGAATTTGACCTATCTTTTGTTTCGATCTTTTTTTTTGGTAAGGTAGGCACTAGCATTTGTTTGGGGGCGAAATATTCTCCATATGCGGGACCTCTACGGAGTAGTAGGATCTGGAATAAGGGCATGGCATGTTCCACTGAGTTGAAGAAAACGAACGGTTTAGATGACGAGATATGATCTAGTTTGATATATGTCTGTTATTTTTCTATTCAGGACCTATATTTTAGTGTTTCGTTTCTCTTTCTCAATTTCCAAACTTTCAGGGCAAAATGGCTGCGATATTCAAGGTGGACCATTGCGCCACAAACGGGCGCCAAAGACGGGTTCAATGAAGAACAGAAAGTGACAATGTCAAGTACTTGAAGAGAGAGAGGCTTGACCCAAAAGTTGGGGAGTCGGCAGCGTCAACTTTCGCGTAGACTGTCAGTAACCTTCCCGAGGAATTTTTGTCCCAGAAAGATTTTTGAGAAGCCTTAGAGGTGATCAGGAATCTAGACAAGATCCCCCCCACCCTCCCCATTTAGCTTAGCTTGGCATAGACACGAAATACGAGCCTGGCGCCAATTAGCGTGTTCAGGATATTAATTACCCCCTATCTCTCCAACTCACGCCTATTTCCTAATACCCAAGCACCACCAAGTCTGCGAGGATTGTTCCCACAAAAAGATATCCTCCCGGACAAGACCGTGCTCTGTCCACATATATACTTTCCGGTTAGTGCAAAAGAGTTGTCTCTTTATAGTTAGGGCCCTGTGCTGAAGGATCACTTGCCGTCGACCTAGTGCGCATTTTTGAGGCTGATGCAGACTAGCAAAGATAATGGATAGCCAGCTTATTTCGACGCCTTGGCAGCTGAAGGGCCCTAGGGGATTTAAACCCCCCCCCCTGTATCGTGTGGAAAGGATGTATGTTCAACTGAAAATTATCGTTGAGTGTTCGTTGCCTGAAGGGCCCTGTTAAGTCCCGTGTCAGCATCACTACGCAGGAATGGCGTTCTCTTTTCCTTTACAACTTCTCTTATCGCTCTTGATTACTGTTACTCAGGCCCAACCCAATTGTCCCGATGATGAATTAGTTTACTCGCCCTTTCGACCCTGGTTCAACTTCGATTATGGGCCCGAACGGGGCGACTGCTGGAAAGCCGCCATCTGCTTATTCGACCAGGCCGACTCGGCCCGCAATCAGCAATTCTCAGCCACAGCACTCGTCATGGGCCTACTACCTATGGTCTTCCGAGACATTGCATGGCCCGAAAGAAGAGTCGTGCTTGTTTCATCGCCCCTCCCTGCCCTTGCGGAGGTGGTTGTTCGGGCACTCGGCCTGGAGCCCGTCGTGAGGGGGGGTGTGGCCGGGTGGTCAAATGAAGATAGCGAGCGCTGGGTAGATTGGCTGCGCAGGAGCTCGATTGCAGGGCCGGCGCTGCGGTCGAGATTTCGTGCCATGCTGGTGGTGTTTGCCAGTTTCTTTGCGCTGCTGGCCTCGTATGCGGGGTTAGCGTTGGTGGAGATCTATTCAAAGCGGTCTGCATTGGGCTGTGTATACCCTGTCATTGCGTTGACTTGGTGTCTTGTTGGTGTTATTCCCGCCGCGATCCATGTGGTCTACGAGAGCTTTCGGCGAAGAGGAGTCAAGGAGGGCTCGGAATCGGGCGATACTAGGCCATCGGCGGTGCAGGGGGCAGACCAGCAATGGCCTGTGCAACTTTCGTGGGGAATTTACTATATCATTGGAACTTTGGTGTATACTTCCATCATGGCAGTTACACCGTTGGAGCTGTTTGTTTGGGTTGTGACCATGGCTGTTGTGTCGGGCGCTGGAAAGATGCTTGCGCTTTATATCTGCTTGATGTTGAGGAGTCCAGCATGACAGGACTGCGATTCGAACTGGGGTGGGCTGCGGCGTGGGAATCTCCTTAATGTCGATATGTGTACTTGAAATGTCCATAAAAGTTAGTGGATTTGCCAGATATATTTAATATATATCTATAAGAATACCCGCCGTCTTTACCTGCTTCTAATTGGAAATTATAACTATTGTCACGATCCGCGTGATCACATGCTTCCTTTGTTTCCTTTGTTTCCTTGTTTTTTGTTTGCTACTATTCCTGTTCGTGTAATAGCATACTTGCTAATTAGGAAAGAGTTTGTTTCCTTGCCGGGATAGCTCCTGCTATGAGATCTTCTGGAATCTACCACTTCCTCCTTCTCTATTCCGCCCCCCAATCTTTGCTTTTCTAGTTTGAATTCACTCTTTCCTCGTTGAATGAACTGGTACATAACAACTATGCCCTGATATTTAGTATATCTATTTCTATAGTTATTCTCCACTGTATCGACTTAAATTGACCCGGCTGAACGGAACGCTGATGGGGCTTCTGTAAAGGAAAAAGTGTAAGGGACTCGGAAGTCGGATAGATATCGCAGTGTAATGTACACCGTTCAGGAATGAAGAGGTACAAGAACACCTCCGGCTGGAATCCAGACTCGGCAAGAATTACTTTCTGTATGAATTGGAATAACATGCAAATGGCATTCAGAATTATATATGTCGGACATTTCTCTATCAAGAATACCATCTACCTTCCTCATTGTTCGTCTGGCCCGACCAACAGGAACTAGAATAACAACTAGTATGCTTTTATAGGTGCGGACAAAATCCCGTCTCGCATCAAAGTATTCGACCGTGTCTGCAGCTGGGGCTTCTTTGGTAGAGATGGTCCGGTTTTATCACTCCCGCCAGGACTAGAAAAACTTTGGTCCTATTACCCTGTAGATGCTCTCACAAAAGCGGTGCTGAAGGTTGATTTCGTGAGATTGAGAGGTTTACTAGTCAACAAATCTACACACTGATAAACGTTGATAAGATTTGACGACTTAAAACTTGATTTTATGATGATTTTTACTATGCAAACCAGCATGATTTATGCTTTACGACAGAGATATGCCTGCATGATAAAATTATGATAAGATGTGATATAAGATGTGATAAATTCAGTGATATGGAACTCTCTAACTAGCAATAAAACAGGATAAATGCGCGAATTTAAACAGATAAAATAACTAGTTAATACTGCACTTTTGTGTCGATTTCCTGGACCCGAAGTCCGAGGAGGATATTCAGGGTGTATCTGATCGGGTTATCTTGTATCCGACCGTGTACTTGGATTCGGTATGTGAAACTTAAATTTTCATGCCCAGTCTTTTCTTATTTGCTTGCAGACTGAGTAGATTGTTAGACGATTGTTAGACGATTGTTTGTCAAACGAAGGGCATAGATACCCTCCATAGGTTGAATACTAGAAGACTTTCTGACAGAAATCTGACTTTATCAATTCAGTAACTCGCAACTTAAATAGACAAGATAACTAATCAATTATGCACTTTTCTGTGGGTTCTCTGAACCCGATGTCCGACGGGGTACCCTGTATCCAATCGGTTGGTTTTGTTCTGTATATGACCGGGTATTTGGACTCGGTATTTGATACTTTCTTTCACATGAAGGTGAAAGTGTCAACCGTCTCCTTTGTAGCCACAATAACCGTAAACAAAAACAAGAGGCGAACTCCGAGTACGATCAATCTGGTTCCTTTATCGTAACGGGTACGCATCCCGTAGTCACAGATTCATTCCACCTCCCAATGTCAACTATGTACCTCTCATCTTGGTCGAGTTTCTTGATCTCATTGGGTTCTCTGAGCTGTGTAGACGCTCTCCAGGTTAAACTGCAAATCTTTGTATCACGTACGTCATCAACAAGATCAAGGTGTCCTTCAGATTCGTCCATAGAGCAGACATTCCGGATCCCACCGTTATGGCGAATAATCATGTCGTCAACATCGTCGGCCTTCAAGATATCGCTTCCATCATCCTCATTGTAAAATTTGCCCCTATTCATACCTCAGAAATCTTGATTTGGAATCAAGGAATGAAAAGGAAATACCTTTCAAGTTCCGCATTTTCGACGCGGACATCATACTTCAGGTCGTCTTGAATTTGGATCTTGAGGTATTTTTGAGGCAGTGGAGAGTCCATAATAGATTTTCGATCTCAAAAGAGTTCAGTGACTTTTTTTCCCCAAAATGATTGTAGAATCAGGGGTCACATCTGGAGGTGTGGGCATATAAGGCTTTTAATTTTCAAGTCTATGACGATTGCTATGATCTCAACCACGGGGAAGCGCGGGGGTGGAGAGGAGAATCCACTGGAGTGGCGTTTTTGTTTGGAATAGCATCACGGTTATACATGACCTATGACGAGTGTCTAAATGATGGATACAGTCAGTGGGAGGTAGAAGGGGTGACTGAGATAACGAGACACTGCCTTAATCTTCAATTCCGCCTTCTTAATTGGAATTATGCCCTACATTCTTTACATAAAGTACATAAACCCCCACCCTTTCAAGGACGTGGATCGTAGTCAGAAGTATTCCATAGCTTACTTTTTCACCCCACAAAAGAGGAATTGTCGTATGTATCCTTTTGAGTGGTATCAAGTATAATTATAATGTAGATGGTGATATATGTTAGATCAGGCCGGCGACATCAGATTAAGTATAGGGATAAAGTTCTATTTCCTTCCTATTCCCCCCATTCCCCCCCGCTTTTCTTTTTCCACCTTTTGGTCGAACAAACTAATGCCTGTCCACGTTTTCGATCTCCCAATCAAACCAACAACAAGAAAATAAGCCAAATTAATTCATGAAAGATAGTTCCATTCAGTCCACCCTCGTGGCACCTAGAAACGATAGAGATTCAAGAGTTGAAGGGTGCAAAAAAAAGGAAACTTCGCCAATATACGGGATCTTTTCCAAGGAGTTAATAAATCTGTAAGGACAAAATCTGTAAATTCTTTGGTTATCATTCAATAACTTACAAGGAAACTGTCAGCGGAAGAGAAAGCTACGGCAGGAAGGAAAAAGGAAGGGAATACGGTTATATTCAATATGGACCCTAGGAGGAGGAAAAGAGAAGAGAGAACCTATGGAAACTGTCTACTGGAAGTCCTAGGCTCGGAGTGGATCACGCGACGCACCACGTGACCTCACTCTCCACAGAAACCTACCAAGAAAACTGCATATCACCACCATGGTTATTCATTCTTTCGACCAAATTCACGTCCCCTTCTAGATATTGCCCCTTGGAGATGATCCCTCGGTTCAGCCCACAGGACGGGCACTCGAATTCCGCAACTCTGAACGAGTACTTTATGATCATGATCTGACAAAATAAATGCTACCGAGAACCTTCACATCGAGTCATGGAGATCGGACACCTACCTTGTGGACAGGTGGTAGGACAATTGTCGAGGTTAGAATAAATTTTAGGCCAACCGCCACAATGACATCCTAACTAATCCTAGTGGATTACTTGAATGACCCATGGGTGTCTTAACCACAATTCTGTTTTTAGTTGCTAAAGTTGGTAGACTGACAAGCCCCCGCAGCCCATATGCGGGGACGCAGTCTATGACATGTGGTAGAAACCCACCACTAGTTAAATCATTCAATTAAACTACTTACTATCTACTATTGAACTTATTCATATTAAATACCGTGAATTCCATCCCTAACAGCCTATAGGAAGTTCCCTATCCAGACATCTCTATCCGACCATAATAATCACATGCACCAAATCAGAGGTGATCACATCTAGTAGCCGAATACAGGCACAGACGCGAACCTCTATATTAGGGCATTTCCTTATATTGTATTGTTTATATATACCTACAGCTCGTAATGAGGGACATGCGAAGCCCGCTTATTTTTAACTATTTTATTTAATTTATGGTGGTTGATAGAAGTCTTCCAACTAGACCGGAAGGTTTGGTTCAAAATTCCCAATCGGGTTAGCGTTTGGTCGAAAATTCCTAATCGGGAAGTTTTGGCCCAAAATGCAGGAGAAGGCGTCTGCATTTTAGACCATCCCCTTCTTCTGCATTTTCGACCACCACCCATAAATTGATTTTTAACCACGACTAACTTATATTTTACTGTTGAATAAATTAGTAAATATTGAATATATTAGTAACTATCCCTTTATGACTGTAATTTCTGACCGCGGTCAGAAATTGAGGCCGGCAGGTCTCCTGGTACGTATAGTAGTATAGTATGGTCGAAAATGCAGCAGAAGGCTTTGGTCGGAAATGCAGTAGAAGACGTCTGCATTTTAGACCATACCCTTCTTCTGCATTTCGTACTATCCTCTTCTTCTGCATTTCGGACCATTCCCTTCTCCTGCATTACATTCAACTGTTATGGCGGTCTTCCTTCAGTTAGGTGCCGCATCAGGATCTAAGTAGGCATTGCAGGGTTATTACAAGGCCTAAAACGCATTAAGAAAATTCTTATTTAACATCTGGACCTTAGACTCCTTCATGTTCGCCTCTTCAACTTCAAGGATCTTACCATCTTTAACTTCGACGCGATATTTTCCATTCTTTTAGAAGAAAAGGGTAGATAGACAGTAGAGTTTATATGAAAACATAAGACAAATCGTATCCAACGTCACGTAAGTGACAAGAAGACTCTGATGATATGCAATGTACCTTAATGAGCGAACCAAAACGCTACATTACTGAGGTGGATATCTATCACAAGCCGTAAGTTCTATGATTATTATCACGATATCTTCAATCATGAGGTTATACGTGTATGTTGGTATATGCAGCACCAGCATACCGGAATACCGGAGGATTTATTAATCCTCCAGTATGCAGTAATATTTCTTATGTAATCAGGATAGTATAAATTGTCAGAATAGTGGATACAGAAAGACAGAGACTTGAATACCATTGATTGGACCCTTATAATACGGAATACCACCTGTGTGGACAGTTATGAGCCCGGATCGCACTGAATGAACCTGCTGTAGTCGAAACACAGCACGATTGAACCCCTGAAGCTGCCGAAAAGAGTAATTGTGGAGCTATTCCCAGCTACCCCTGAATTATATCTAGCAATGGAGACAGCATCGATTCTCTCCGCCACGAAGGGCGAAAAACTGAAGGATGAAACGCAATGGCGTACCTGGTTCACGAGAGTGAGGTCGTACGCGAGGCAGAAAGGTGTATAGGAGCTGTGTGACCCTGAAGCTGTGATGGCTGAGATCGCTGCTGTATCTACCGCGATAGAGAAGCCACTAATTCGGCCCGACCTCCTTACCGAACCGACAGTCCCCGAGTATCCCGAGGAGGGGGATGCAGAGGAAAAGAAAACCTGGAGAGATCGGATGGACCTTTTTAAAATCAAGTATGCCCGATGGCAAAGCGAGGCGAAAGGACTAGCCGATGTTAACGAGTATATCTTGATATACCTAGACCCGGTACACCATCTAGCTATTATACCGCTAGAGACGCCTTATGAGAGACTGGTCTATTTGAAATCCCGTTTCGCCCAGACGGTCACGTACCGAGAAGAGATCCGAATGAAATGGAGATATTTCTCTACCCAAAGACTAACGGGAGATATCGAGCAATGGATCCAGAAGTGGGACTCGATGAGAGAATTGACGATTAGTCTTAGAATCGATGATAGTAATCCGAATCGAGACTTTGTATACGCAGTAAAGGACGTACTGCCAATGTGGTGGCAAGCACAATACCAGGACATTGTCGCTGATGGGAAGCCGGTCGATACTCGAGTCCTTATCGAGTCCTTCCGTGCGATAAACAACGATATTGGTGTGAAGACAGTGTCGTCGATAAACGCCCCGAAAAGCGCATTCTCTACCTGGCAAGGTTATTAAGAAGCGAAGCCGGATACCCCGTACGAGAAACGGAGGTGTCCCTACGGCGATAGGCACCCACAGCATTCTGTGCGTACGTGCTGGACTGTGAATGAAGTAATCCGCCCGGAAGGGAAGCCTATAGACCAGAGAAAGGTGGACCGCGTAAATAAGTAACTGTTAAAGGATCTAGGATAGAAGAAGTGGGTGGATAAGACGATAGCAGGAGCTAAACCGAAAGCCGACCGGCCCGAGCCGAAGGTTAAATCGGCCAATGTCCTAACCAGCTTTGTTACGATGACGAAGCATGCCCTATCCGCTAGCGAGGTGTCGCTTCGAGATAGATGGATCCTCGATTCGGGATCGAGCGCGCACGTGTGCAATAACAAGGACCTATTCGTTAACCTTCGGCCCGACGCGATAGAATTGAAGACAGGAGATGGATCTACCCGAGTACTCGGTCGAGGCACGGTCCGCTTAATAGGAAAGCACCCCCAGAGGGGACGAATGGAGATCACGCTAAGCGACGCACTCTATTCGCCGACGTTTCACACTAACCTAGTGTCGTACGCGCAATTAAAGAAGAAGGGTGGCACGTGGTGCCAGGAGACGAACTGTATCCGAGACCCTAATAAGAACCCGGTCGTTAGCGTACGATTATGGGACCAATTTGATCTATGGATTTTTGACCAGCCCGACGAAGCGCTCCCCCCACAGTAAGCATTCGCAGCTACCCCGCAAAGAGCAGCATCGACACCGAGGAAGTCAGTCAAGACGCAGGAATCGAAGGCTTCGGTGGAGCTCTGGCATAGAAGGTTCGCGCATATCGATCGGAAGACGGTAGCAAAGCTTGCTATAATGGTCGACGGTGTTAATATCTAGGAAGAGAAGCTGATAACGCCGACAGCGACGTCGGGATCGAGATCGGTACCGATAGGAGAAGAAGCACCACTGTGCGCGACGTGTTATATCGGGAGGGCACCGAGACAGATCTCTCGACGGCCTATAGGACGCACGTTTGGACGATTCGGAAGGATTCATTTCGATCTGATACAGCTACCGCCAGCGTATAATAAGCATAGATGGATCTCTCACTTCTATATCGAGGGAGTTAGATTTCACTGGCTGATGACACACGAGATGAAACCAGAGTGTCAGTTAGCTATCAACCAGTTTATTAAACTAGCTAAGAATCAGTGGAATTTGCCTATCAAGGCATTCCACTACGATAATGAGCTTTCAGCAGGCAAGAAGGCCGAATACAGTCTAACGAGCGACGGTATCCTAATCTATCATACCCCGCCAGCACACGCGGAAATGAACGGATACGCCGAGAGATCTGGTGGCATGATAATCGTCCGAATGCGGATGCTAGCGCTCGAAGGGAAGCTTCCGAAGGAATTATGGCCCTATTTCGCCGGTGCCGCCGTGTGGATGCTAAACCGTACCCCGACGTACATTGCTTCCGAGAATCGGTGGATCATACCGTGGGAGGAAGTGCGGAAGGAGTTCTTAAAGGGCGCGATTCCACCCCGAATCAATCTCGCGAAAGTGAGGTTATACGGAAGCTTAGCGTACTGTCGAATTGAACACCAGGTGAAGTCAGATAAGATGAATCCTCGCGCAGAAGTTAGATTCCTAGTTAGATACGTGGCGTCCAATATCTATCAGATCTGGTTTCCACACTCAGGAAAAGTGAGGCATATCAGGGATGCTATCATAGATGAATCTCGTAAATACACACCGGATTATGAGAAATTCCAGCCGATTCCTATGCCGCTAGCCAAGGAGCCAGAAGAGATCTCACTCGCTGAGATTACCGAACTGGTAAACCGTGAATTAGCGAGTCGGGAACCTGTCGGGATACTGGAAAGGACTCGCGAGGAAGATGACCAGGAAGATCGCGAGCAGTAAGCTCCCCCACCACCAGAAGCCCCGCGGGATAAAGACGAAAACGAAGATAACGAGACCTTTCGGCCCGACGACGAAGGAAATGTGACCTTTCGGCCCGAAGATAAAGAAAATGAGGCTATTCGCACCACCCTAAGTCAGGGGGTGAGAGATACTACCCCACCTTAGGGGGTGAGTACCCAGGTAAGCATGCCTACCCCGATAGGACCGCCGAGAATGGCGATAGGTGAAATCCAAGAGAGAAGCGAACCCCAGAAAGCAGTGCTAGGTGCTTTCCCGGCCGAGGACCTACCCCCGCTGCCGAATACGCCTCCGCACGAGCCCGAATCGGACGCTGACCCTGGTCAGGGGGTGGATATAGGTGATCAGGATGATCATCTAATAGAAGACCAGGCCCAGCAAGAAGAAGATCGGACCAATGAAAGTGAAGAGGACGATCTAGAAAGACAGCTACAATCTGAATTACTAGCACTAAGCAGAGAAATTAACAGCGGTGTAGACGTCAGTAACATACTGACAGGAAGTCGTACGCGCAGAGCACGAAGAGATGACGATTACGCCTACGCGACTACGATCAAGATAGCTCCAGAAGGAGAAGAACCGCCCGCCTTCCTACACGCTTTCGCGGCAGGTTTATACGCCGAGAAACCAGACACCCGTCGTCACCGAGACGACCTTCCACCGCCCCCGAAACACTGGAAAGAGGTCCTGAATCACCCTTTTCAGCAAGGATTTCTCGCAGCAGCAGCGAAGGAAATAAGGTCGTTAGCCGAGAAAGAGACGTTTGAGGTTATCGAGAAACTAAGAGACCGAGGAGTACAGATACTGCCGTTGATGTGGGTCTTTACCTACAAATTTGATGCGGACGGATACCTAGTGAAGTTCAAAGCCCGCATTTACGTACGTGGAGACCTCGAAACGATCACGTACCAGGAAAAGAGAGCTGCGACACTAGCAGCAAGGACCGCAAGGATGATCTTCGCTTTGGTCGCCGCATTTGATCTGAATCTGCGACAGCGGGACGCTGTTACCGCGTTCTTAAACAGTAAGCTGGAGCAAGAGACGTACTCGCATATGCCAGAAGGATTTCAGATCCCAGGGAAGTGCTGGAAGTTACGGCGAGCACTGTACGGACTACGGATCTCGCCGAGACTATGGCAGTAAGAAGCTTCGAAGGTGCTACGAAAGCTAGGACTAAAGCAAGCACCCGAGGATCCCTGTGTGTTTACTGGGGATGGAATTTTAGTCTTCTTTTACGTGGATGATATCTTAATTGCCAGTCATCCTGACGTCAAGAAGCAGGCTGACCAGCTGGAAAGAGATCTAGAATCGCACTGGGAACTGACAGATCATGGAGAAGCAGCATGGTTTTTAAATATCCGGATACTCCGAGATAGAAGATAAAAGAAATTATGGCTATGCCAAGATAGCTATGTGATAAGCATCGCGAATCGATTTAATCTAATAGACCGACCACCGGTCTATACACCACTGCCTATCGAAGAATTGACTCCCTACACGGGTGCCGCAACCCCATAGGAGATCCTATTATACCAGAAGAAAGTGGGATCCGCAGGGTATGCGACGACGATCACCCGACCCGACGCTGTAAAAGCGACCGCACGATTAGCTCAATTTTTGACAAATCCTGGACCGGAACACCAGAGAGCTGCTGATAGAGTCATTACGTATTTATATACCACGCGAAATCTCGCGATCGAGTACAGTGCCGAGGTCGAAATGGACTCGATTCAGTTCGCTAGCGATGCTTCGTACGGAGACCACCAGGACAGGAAGAGCTCCGCAGGGTATATTTACCAGGCGTACGGAGGCCCGGTCGACTGGAAAGCGACTAAACAGCCGACCGTAACGACGTCCACCACGGAAGCCGAGCTGCTCGGGCTATCTGAAGCCGGAAAGCAGGTTTAATGGTGGCGCCGACTACTCGAAAGCCTTGGTTTTATTCCATCCCACCACCTGACGATCGATTGCGACAACGAAAGGACGATTGGATTATTGACGAGCGAAGACACGGCGTTTAAAACGAAGCTTCGGCACGTGGATATTCATCGGCACTGGCTTCGGCAAGAAGTTCGGGAAGGAAGGATTCGCGTGCGATGGGTAGCGACAGCGAGCATGGTTGCCGACGGACTGACGAAGCTGCTATCTCGGCAGAAGCACGAGAATTTTCTCAGGATGCTGAGGATGGTAGATATCAGCTATATGCTGGTTTAGATGAGAAGAGACAGCGATCCCATACTGGGACCGCTGAGGGGGTGTGTTGGTATATGCAGCACCAGCATACCGGAATACCGGAGGATTTATTAATCCTCCAGTATGCAGTAATATTTCTTATGTAATCAGGATAGTATAAATTGTCAGAATAGTGGATACAGAAAGACAGAGACTTGAATACCATTGATTGGACCCTTATAATACGGAATACCACCTGTGTGGACAGTGTATTGGTGCCTCAGGCCTATAAGTACTGCCTTAGGTTTATGGGCCAGGTAGAATCCCGGCGCCACGGCGGTGAAACCCCGGGTTTTCGATATCCATTCAGGAAAGGAACCCTGCCGGCGTTGAAACCGGTTTTGTCTTACAAACCTCTACCCCACTCCCCATTTGATTTCCCCGCTTAATATATCACATTCTCTTGCCGTCTTATCCGAAGGAAAAGATGTATATAACCAAGAAGAGATAAAAGGAGCCTGAAGGTTCTGTAAGAAACAGTCTTTGACTTAGAAACCGCATATTAATACCCTTTTCCTAGCTGATTGACAGGCATCTACCCTGACTAGTGGATTATCCGTAACACCTGCCAAAGCTTGCTTAAATTTAGGAAGATGAAATTTCCACGCGTCTAAGAAGCGAGGTGCGTTACTACCTTGGGTCGACACCACGATACAACTGATCCGCTCCAGGATGGCAACTTCAAATGAAGCAGGTGTAATAACTCATACCTAGCAGTATATTCAGCTGGAATGGATGACCGGAAAAGAAGTGGTGCCTGGTACGTAAAGCTTGATTGAAGGAGAAGATGATATTCTCTATGGTAGAACTAGCTATTTGGGGGGCCGGTTGACTCACTAGTAACCTGATCCTCCACA